CGCACAGTTTTTTTTTTCTTGTGAGTGAGGGTTGTGTTTTCTAGAGAGAGATATATATGTGTGTGTGGGGGGGAATATTTTTTTCTCCCCACACATATAAAATATAATAATCTGACCGAGATATATATATATATATGTGTGTGTATATATATATATATATACACATATATATATATATATATATATATATATATATATATATATATATATATATATATATATATATATATATATAATATATATATATATATATTTATATATATATATATATATATATATATATATATATATATATATATATATATATATATATATATATATATATATATATATATATATATATATATATATATATATATATATATATATATACACTACATCTTATCATAATTAATTAATTTTTGTTAACCAAATTTACCATTTATTATTCTTGAGTAGTTTTTAAATGTGTAAAGAATGTTGTTTATATGATTTTTTTTCAATTTTTTGTACATTTACTTAAAAAGTCACGTAAAAGGAGAATACAACATTACGAATTTACGAATGTGTTTGCCTAAGTTTATAAGTTGTTATAAAAATTTTAAGATCTTTAAGAGCTTATAAGATTTTTTAAAGTGTTTCTTATATTTTTTTAAATAGATGTTAAGAAAACTAAAAATAAATTGCTCGAAAGTAAATACGATCGTTTTTAAAAAGTACATATATCCCACCTTTTTTATTTAAGATCTTATAATAAGCAAAAATGATTTCAAACATTATTATCCAAACACTTTAAAACTTAATTTAAAAAAAACGTAACAACTTATATTTATCAGCCATTTAAAATAAGTTTAATTCAAACGGACACTATGTTCGATAGTGTCTTAAGATTTATACATTTTTTTCTTGTGCCACACAAACTCCTAACACATCTATATTTATAAAAAGATAAAAAATAAAAATATAAAAATATAAAAAATATATATATATATATAAAAAAAACCATGAATATTAATTAAAATTAATTAGGGTCAAAATAATATTTGTGCACGTTTTCCCTATAATTACCATTTTAATAGGCCCAGCCTTTATTGGGTTTAGTCATAGTCTTAACTATATGGACCACTCTAATATCCAAGCCCAGTTTTAACCTTAATTGGGACCAGCCCACTAATTAAATAATCAATGAAGAAATTAATAAGCTAAATAAAATCCAATTTATCCAAATAAAATGTCGGTTAATTAATTAAAGATGAGGCAACCATCGTTACAAGCTGCTTAATTAGGTGAAGTGATTTTTTTTATTATTATTATTATTTTTTATTTTATTTTTTGCATTAAAATAATGCTTAAGTGGGAATTACTGTTAATTAAAACAGCTTTTGGGACATAGTTAATTACCATAATTAAACATTTTATATTTTTGCATTGGGTAAAACAAAATAAAATACTATTGCTGTAATTACGTGAATGGATTAGCATGAAATTCCGGAGTGGTGTTGCCCACTAATATGCATGCATGCATAATCTAGAGTGTGGTTTTTAGGGTTTCTTTTTTTGTTGAGGATGTGTGCATGCAAATACTCAAGGTTCAAGAACCACAATCGTGTCAAGTACTCCACAATAGTATTAAAAAAAAAAAGTTTATCCATAAACTTTAATATATATTATATGAAATATGGGTAAATTACAAACACCCCCCTGAGGTATGGTCAAATTACAAAAACACCCCTCTTGTTTGGATAATTACAACTACCCCCTCAACTATGATTTCTTCTTACACCTCCACCCTTATGGTGCCAAATTCAACATAATCATCTAGATTCCGTGGAATGTGCTCTAGTTTGTACTCATTTTGTGTAAAAATGCAGTTTTCGATGCACTACAAACTGATATATACAAGCTAAAAATCACATATTATGATCATCTTGCTTCATAATGTAGAGTTTGAATGGGATAAAACAGGTACAAAAGTGATAATATTCCATATAATCTCGAAGATTCCACTAAATTTGAGGAGTTGAGGGGGTGGTTGTAATTATCCAAACAAGAGGGGTATTTTTGTAATTTGACCATACCTCAGAGGGTGTTTGTAATTTACCCTATGAAATATTAAAATATAATATATTCAAAATATGATCATTTGAATCACTAAGATTTAGAGCCTGTTTGGCTAAGCTTATAAGCTCCTAAAAACATCTTATAAGATGTTTAGGAGCTTATAAGTTGTTAAAAAGTGTTTGGTAAAAAAATTGCAAAAGATCTTATTTTTTCCAAAAATAAGCTGTTAGGGAGCTTATAAGATGTTTTTAAAAAAGTACCTCTACCCCACCTTTTTTCTTTAAGATCTTATTTGCTTCTTTACTAAAACACTTAAAATACAAAATTACCCTCAAATACTTTATTATATTACATGAATACTAATAATATTTATATTTTATCAAAACAACGTATTCTTGTAATCAAGATTAATAATTAGTTAAATATAATTATCGTAATTATCATAATAATTGTAAAAAGAATTATTCTCTATTTATATTTTATATGTATATAAAAATACACGAATATTCTTATTATCTCCATAATAAATTATATTTCTTTCATCCAAAAAAAAATTATATTTCTTTTACAACTTTTATTTTATATTATTATATAATTTTATATTATTATATAATTTTATATTATTATTATTATTTGAAAAAATAATTTGTAAATATTATAATAATATTTTAGGAACAAAAGTATTTGAGTCAAATAAGTTTAACAATTATACTGGCGTTATGTACTTTTTTGTCATTATAGCAATAAACAGACCTTTTATTTCCAAACACCTGAACAACTTATAAAAACAAAAAGTAACTTATAAGCTACATATCCAAACACCTTAAAAAATAATTTTTAAAATAAGATCTAACAGCTTATCAGCTCCTAAAACATCTTATCAGATATAGGAGCTTATAAGATGTTTTAAATAAGCTTAGCCAAACGGGCTCTTAGTGATTATGGGGGGGCTGTGTGATGTGAGAATTGCTAAAAAAAGGGTTAAATTACGGATATTAAATAACTTACAAATTCATATTATATTGGTAATTACTAATAGCCCCGAAACTAACATGTTATAATACTAACGGAATAAATGAATTGTTTAAATTACTATTTTATTAAACAAATAAATTATGAGTAAATTGCGTGTACCCCATGAGGTAAGAAAAAGTAATACAGTTACTCCTCATGTGGGTATATTACATTTACCTCCCCGGGGTAGATTTAGGAATTCAGGAAAAAAATATTCTATAGAATCTTCAAGATTCCGTTACTTATAACTTTGTAAGGGTGTAATTGTAAGATGGAGAAACAATTCAGAGGGTATTTGTAATTAATAGTACCACATGGGTTTATAAGTTATTTAATCTTACCTCGTACATGAGTACCGATAATTTACCCTAAAAAAATTCAAAATATGGGAATAGTGTAAGTTAACAAAAATTAAAAAACATTTGGTATAAAATTAAGTCACAATTAAAGTGTCATGTCACAAAAGATATTATTTGCTTGCGGTGTTTCTGGGTTTTGTGTTTTATAATGTTGTGCTTTTCTTGAACTTGTATTGGTATGTTTTTTGAGGGCCCAAATTAAGCCCTAATTGGGATTTGATCTCTATGGATTTAATATGATTAATGATTGATTAATGGTTCACTTTTTATTTTTTAGTGTTCTTGTTGAAACCTACTGTTGGGTACTAGCTAATGTACAATAATAAAAAGAAATGACGAGGATACCATAAGGTCGGGGGGCCACGGCCCCCAACATTTATCAAATCTCTATTAATTGGTATCAAAATATAATTAAAAAAAAAATTGTGTATAAATAGTACTAACAGCTGCCCCTCGGAAATTTTTTAATGCATTCGGTCTCACTGAATTTAAAATCCTGATTCTGCTAGTGCCACGAAGTATTATGTTGATTTGAAAAAAATAAACAAATGATTGTATCATTACATAACAATTAACTAGTAATAGAATCAATCATGACTGCATTACATGTTTAAGCACTTTCCGGATTAGATTAATGTTTTCGGTTTTCCACCTTATGGTGCTTTAGGAGATTAATTAGTGGTAAGTATTTCAATTGTTGAGCTCTTAATTAGGATTAGATAATTAAGTTCCAGCTGGCATGTCTAATTAGGACAGATAAGCACTAGTGTGTTTATCCAAGTTGACATGTGGGCTAAACTAGGTCTATATATATAGGGCATAATATAGCTTATAGTTTCATTGTTTTGTTTGAGCTTATATTAATATGTTGTACAATTACTAAATTATGTTGTACGATTACTAAATTTTAATCGAAGATTATAGTATGTCAGATCGATCGGTGAACAATAGAACAAACACTAACCGTGCAATGAAAATCCTAATTATGAACAATATAATTACATGCAAGGTTGTAAAAAGCGGTAATCGGGTCGGAGGCGGTTAGGGACCGACTCACGATTAATCGGTGCGGCGGTGATTAATCGGTGATAAATCGGAAATAAATCGGTTTTTAAAATTTAATATAATATATTTGTAGATATTATTTATAAATACTCAAAACATAGATAAAAAATATTTAACATAGTTATATCTCCATCATGTATATATTCTAATAACATACTAAAAGTTTAATAATAATAAGATCATAATACATAAATATCCTTATAAAATATAAATAAAAAGGCAATTTTTTTTGAATTTACATACATTCTTGGCATACATCATTAGTTCTTTAACAATAATAATTAACATAAACAAAATCATACATAAACTCTTTTTTTTTATTAAAATCCCAACTTTTATTTTGATTTATAAAAAAAAAAAAAAAAAAAAAAAAAAAAAAAAAAAACCGATTTTTGACCATTTTTTGCCGATTTTTGCCACCGAAGTTTGACCCGCCTTAAAGGTTTGACCGCCTCGGACCGCCTCGGACCGCCTCAGACCGCCTCAGACCGCCTCGGACCGCCTCAAACCGCCCCACAGGCAAAAAACCGATTTTTCAAACCTTTACACTAAAATCGTAAAGGTTTTGGACCGCCTCCGCCTCGGCGACCGATTAATCGGCCGCCTCGGCCGATTTTTAGAACACTGATTACATGTAACGAAGAATAACGCAAAAGGATTACATTGTTGAGCCTTGAATGAACTACATTCACGGAAGAAATAAGCACTCTATTGATTTATAAACATCACATTATAGTTACAAAGATTACAAGAGCTCAAGAAATCTCGCTTCTAGTCGATTTAGTATGTGTTTATGGTGCAAGTGTGGGTGTTTCTTGCTAACTTCAGCAGCTCATCATTCCTTATATCTCGTAAGGAATCCTCTTACAGAAGATTCCCCCTCTAGTTGTCTTGATCCTTTCGGCTCCAATCAATAGCTGACACCTCATCGGATGGTTAGCTAGGATCGGAGAGTAAGTTATCCACAACACCCAAGATTTTCAAGTGACTTTAATCGGTTCCTTTCACTTCTTCCACGTGGATTGATCTTCCAGCTCAGCTCCACCTCGATTAGTTGATCGAAATACTTCAATTCTCCACCTCCATCACAATGCAATTACCATTATAATAAGAAAAAAAAAATTACATTATTAAACCATTGTTAAATATTGGTATACCAAAAAAAAGCCAAAAGCATAGAGTGAAATATTAATTAATTGAAAATTGATTTCCACTTTCCATCTGCAAAGGGTTATAAATTGGAATATTGAAAGTCACATTGACCAATTGTGGTAAAGGCCGAAAGGCCAAAGTAATGGGAGTTTGATATACAAGCTTAGTTGTGCAATGCATTATTATATATTAATAATTCAATTATTTATTTTATTTTTCATTACTTTTAATAATTTAAAAAGACTTGATAAATTATTAGTCCTGCCAAGTAATTCATTTGATTGGATGGATTCCATTAGTTCACCCCCATTATCTTTTATTTAATAAAGGGAAAAGTCTCTTGCACTAATGTATATTGATATTAATTCATATTGCATACATTTTTGTAAACTATATACATTGACGGATTAAATCACTAAGCTAGTTATCTAAATTAAAAAAATAATTAATTTTAAATTATACATTTTTGATTTAGTTGATGCGTCATTGAAATTTTAATGGGCATATAATATTAATAAATAAAATTATTCATAAATAAAGATATATTTTAAAGTAGGGGGAGAGGGCATTAATTTAAATTAGATGGAATTGTAATGCATTATGAAGCCACACATTTAATGATCATGAAATTCAGAGCTTTAATACATAAAAAAAAATATAATCCAACAGAATTAACATGGTGCATCATACCTTTTTCTGTTTTTTTCTGTTAGCTTGTCGATTTATAATTTATTTATTTTCCTAGCATTAAATTTGAATTTCACAAATATATATTTTAATATTATCTAATATATTTTTTTATTACAATTTGTATTATCATTAGTAATAATAATTGGGGTATCAATGCATATTGGATTGAAATATTAATATTCTCTATTGGTGTTTGGAGTAACAAATGTCAGATTGCATGATCCTCTCATTTTCTAAACACAAATTGACGATTTCTCTAATTTATTTATTTTAGAAACACAAATTCTCTTATTAGTATTAAAAAAACCATTTTTCTTACAACAATTATTTGACAAAATTATTAACCACTAACTAATAAAACTGTCCACTCCAATTAAATATTACAATTTGATTTATATAGTTTCTTATTCATTTTCTAAAGTGAAAAAAAATAGTTGTACTTATATTTTTTTAATTAATTACAATTTCTACCTAAATTGCAGGAAAAAATATATTTTGCGTCCCTTAAGTTTATCTCGATTGCATATCTGGCCCTCCTTATTCATAAAAAAACAAATTTAGTCTCTCATATTTCAACAATTCAACGCTTTTAGTCTTTCCAATCAATTTTTCGTTAGTACTAATAAAATCAAGCGGTATACACTATACATCACCGCCTTAGTTGATGCACTAACAGTAAATTGACGGAAATGAGAAAATATTAAATTATTAAAAATAAAGGGCCAAATGTGTATGTTTGTAAACATAGGGGGTCAAATATGAAATAGGTACAAACTTGAGGGGTGAAAATTATAATTTCCTTCAATTACATTTGTTGACCGTCGGAGTTTCTGTTTCAGCACAGCACGACAACGCCCCAACTCCGAAGGTAGCATACACGCGCCGCCGTAGTGCGTCCCCTTTAAAAAAGGGCGGTGGTACAGTCCAGATACTTCCTCCTCCATTAAAAAACTCTCTCTCTCTCTTTCTCTCTCTCTCTAAAATAGCATACGTGTCGGTTGAAAGAAATATTTAAATGAAGTGAAATCATGTATGCTTATCGATCTGTGTAAACGTAGACAAATTCTCGTTATACAAAAACAGATACTCCGAAAGTAAACACAAATCCGATCATTAAAAAAAGGAGGCTGGATATATATAAATCTTCAACACTAAACCGCCATTGGAGCCTTTTCAGCATGTGCACGCATCCCCATGCACCCAACCACCAACACACACTACACACAGTGAACACGTTCGAAACAGAATAAACAAATTTTTACTCTTGTCTTAAAAAATAAATAAATTATCATCAGCTCCTATAAATAGAAAAACAAAATTAGCAACCCTCTTTTTCTTTCTTCCTAGCTAGTTCCTTCTGTCTACACACAGTACACACGTTCTTGACGGGAGAGAGAAAGATATATACACAAAGGTCAGTTTTTTTTTTTTTTTAATCTGGGATTTTGATTTTTTGAAGTATTGAAGTGATGAACATGGTTTCTGTTTTAATTCAGACAATGATGGATTACATGTTTAAAGAACTCTGTTCTGTAATTGGATTCTTGTTTTTTGAATTTTAGTGTAAATTACAGAAAATCAGAAAATCAAGATTGCATTTTTAATGATTAATAAAGTAGATAAATGCCTGAATATGTGTGTGTTGATCTTCAATCATTATTTTTCTCTTTAGACTATTCAATCTTGATCCATCGAAAAAATCGAGATTTATAAGTTCGTCGAAAAAAATGGGATGTGAGGAAATCGAGACCGAAGAAGAATCGGAAGAAATGGACGACGTTGTCCTGTCTTCGATGTGGCCCGAGGACATAAACGAAGCGGGTCGACAATTCAACATCGAAAGACCGGGATTATCGGACCGAGACATGTTAGAAGAGGTGACGATAATCAAAGAGCCGAACATAGTCGATTTCAAGCGTCTCATGGAGCTAACGAACTACAGCGACAAGGGCAACTGGCAACTGGCTAACCTCGTCAAGAACTGGGAGTACAAGCAAGAAAACGCTGTCCGTCTCTTGCAGGAAGAGCTCGTCAACTTAAGCAAGCAGCAGAAAGCGGTCGAGCTGAAGAAACTCGAAATACTCGAGGAGCACAGGTTCGAAAAAGACGAATACGGTGGCGACAAACGCCCTGTTTCGATCCTAGACGAGAGCTTGAGGTATCTTTATCAAGATCAAGATCAAGATTCTCCATTGAGAAAAAGGGATGTTGTTTGTGGTGGTGAAGATCGAGAAGTTGAGGTGGCCGACGAAGAAAATGATGGCGGAATGTTCTGGAAGAAACGGGCTTTGAGCCTTGAGAAGCTTCTAGAAGCTAGTTTGAGGAGGGAGGAGATTCTGTTGGTTAAATTGGAGGAGAGTATCGAGAATTTGGAGAGGCAATCTTCTCCGGTCGAGGAATTATCGCAGGTTTTGAAACGGGCCGATAATTTCTTGCATTTTGTCCTCCAAAATGCACCTGTTGTTATAGGTCACCAGGTATGTGTGTGTGTGTGTGTCTGTGTGTATATATATATATATATAATTTTCTTGATTAACTTCATTTAATTGAGGATGAATTTTTTTTTTTTTTTTTTTGTGTGTGTGCAGGATAAGGAACTGAGGTATCGATTTATATTCAATCATTTCCCGAGTTTGCGTGAAGAGGTAATCAAACGGCAATAACGACATGCAATTCTTTCCGTAACGGATTTTCCGAATTAGTGGACTGATTTTAGTTTTTTTTTTTTTTTTTTGACAGGATATAATAGGGAAAACAGATGTGGAGATATTCAAAGGAGCTGGAGTGAAGGAATCTCAGGATTTCAAGAAAGAAGTTATGGAAAGAGGAATCCCCGCAAAGAGGGAAATTACTTTCGAAACCGAGCTTTTCGGTTCGAAAACTTTTTTAATTTACGCCGAACCTGTTTTCAGCAAAGCTGGTGAGACAATTGGTGTCAATTATATGGGAATGGAAGTAACTGATCAGGTAATAATTTTACATGCATGCATGTAATAAAACTATGTTGATTAATTAATTTTGTAGATTAATTAACTGTCTACTTAATTTTCTTTTGTCCCGTGTTTAAGGTGAGGAAACGAGAAAAGATGGCGAAGCTTCGAGAAGAGATGGCTGTGCAAAAGGCTAAAGAGACAGAGCTCAACAAAACAATCCATATCACAGGTTGATTATTATTCAAAGTCGTTTTTAACGTACACGGTGTCGATTTTAATTTTTTTTTTTTTAATATTTTTTTTGTTTTGCAGAGGAATCGATGAGAGCAAAACAAATGCTGGCTACAATGTCACACGAAATAAGATCTCCACTATCGGGAGTCGTAAGCATGGCCGAGATTCTTTCGACCACTAAACTCGACAAAGAACAACGCAAGTTATTGAGTGTAATGCTGTCTTCGGGAGATTTAGTTCTTCAGTTAATCAACGACATCCTCGATCTCTCCAAAGTCGAATCGGGTAAAAACAAATTATTCTTTTATGTTATTTTAAGAATTTTGTTCTTAGCAAAAGAACTATTTTTTTAATTTTTTTTTTTTTTAATTTTTTTAGGAGTAATGAAATTGGAAGCTACAAAATTCAGACCAAGAGAGGTAGTAAACCATGTACTACAAACAGCAGCTGCATCATTACAGAAACTACTTACACTAGAAGGAAACGTATCGGTTGATGTTCCCGTCGAGGTAATTAATTAATTAATCGATCTTAATTAATAATCAAGAATTGATTAGCATTTTAAAAAATTTAACGGAGACTCGTTTTTTTCGGTTTTTAAGGTTGTTGGAGATGTCCTAAGGATTCGTCAAATTCTCACAAACTTGATCAGGTACTCGAAATAAAGCTCAAAAATCTTACTTCACGAAAAACGTAAATACGAAAATTTATATTAATAATATTTTGATATATATATTAACAGCAATGCAATCAAGTTCACTCATGAAGGCAAGGTTGGGATAAGGCTTTATGTGGTTCCCGAGCCTCAAAACGGAATCATAAAAGATTCCGAGACAGATTCATCGAACACTAGTAACGTAAATGACGAAAACGCCCCTGAAAATGTGAGGAGTTGCGTTCCGATGGAGGAAGACAATGTAAGTGGTTCCAACACTAATGTGGAACAAGTAGTTTGGATTCGTTGCGATGTCTACGATACAGGGATCGGAATACCAGGTATTATTTATTTACTTAAAACTATCGGGGTTTTTTCGGTTTTTTTTGCTATAATTTATTTTGCTTAATTTCTATGTTAATTAAACAATATGGCAGAACATGCTATACCAACTCTATTCAAGAAATACATGCAAGCCGGTGCAGACACTGCTCGTAAATACGGAGGGACGGGATTAGGCCTTGCAATATGTAAACAATTGGTAATAAAATTAATTTCTCAAATGTTTGTCTTAATTTTTAATACTTTTTTTTTGGTTACATTAATTTTTGTCTTATGATAAATAGGTTGAGCTAATGGGAGGCCATTTAACCGTTTCTAGCGTAGAACATTCCGGATCGATTTTCACCTTCGTCTTACCTTACAGAGTTTCGTCGACCTCCGAAAATTCGGACGAATCCGATGAAATATATTCAGACATGGAAAACGATCAAGATAATGTTCGAGACGACGATTTAAATTCAGGGGTTTTTGTGTTTCCACCGAGAACTTTGGGTTCTTTATTTTCGTCTCAAAGTTCCGGAAGGATCCAGAAGCTTTCTTCACCGAGCAATGCTCAAGAAACTATTACATCACCTTCTAGTAGTAGTCACATTATTACGTGTGAAGAGATCGGTTCGGGAAACGCTGAGTGTTCGACGAGTCACGACTTAGGTTCATCGTCGGATAATTTGAATTTAGGCCGTCGTGATGAAAAATACGATAAAGTTGAAACGGGCGTGAGTTCTGAGTGTCTTGAAATCCCGAAAACCGAGGAGGAAAAACCTAGGATTCTTCTTGTGGAGGATAATAAGATAAATGTGATGGTGACGAAATCGATGATGAAGCAGTTGGGGCATTGTATAGATGTCGTGAGTAACGGAGCTGAAGCTGTTCGTTCGGTTCAGTGCAAATGTTACGATCTTGTTCTAATGGTAATTAATTAGCTAAAAAAACCAATTCGAATTTCGGGTTTTTTTTTTTTAATTATTAATATTTACAGGATGTATGCATGCCGGTGATGGATGGTCTTGAGGCGACGAGATTGATTCGATCGTTTGAGGAAACCGGGAATTGGGACAATGCAGTGAAGGCGGGAATCGAGCTTCAATTGCCGTCTTCAAATTCGAGACGAGAAAAATCGAGAAACAGGATTCCGATTATAGCTGTAAGCAATCGATTCTTGTATCTATATACTTAGGCCTCGTAAATTCGAAATTGCTTTATTTTTTTCGTGACAAATCATGGATTGATTTTTGTGCATGCAGATGACAGCGAATGCGTTATCAGAGAGTGGCGACGACTGTTTCGCTAACGGTATGGATTCGTTCGTGTCGAAACCGATCACCTTCCAGAACTTGAAGCAGTGCCTACAGAAATATTTACCCTAGTTAATATTTGTATTTTATCACCTGTAATAAATAGTAAAGCATCTTTTGTACATAAAAAAAAATGAGTTAGGAAAGTTTTGACATATCAATGTATAGAGGCGGTCGAATTTATGCTACACCCGATGAAGTTTACATGAGTACATTATCATCACCGTTCATTTTCATACACGCACCAATATGGGTATGTGTGTGTTTGTGTATACATGAATTTCAAGTTACAATATATGATAGGATAGATGAATATAAGCAAAAAAATGCATGAATAAGTAGATGGCTTAATTCCACTTTGCACCATCGAAATATAGCATTTTGGCATTTTGAACCTTCGAAAAAAAATAATAGCAAAGGTAATAAATCATTCATATTGCACCCCATTATTTTTCTGCTGGAAATTGTAAACTTAAATTGTTTATTTTCATCAACAGTTAAGTTATTTTCTCAATAAATTTCTTGAAAATTAAATAAAAATAAAATTCACATTTTTTCAATCAAAGATCTACATAAGAATAAATAATTTATTGAGAGTATTTAATTAAAATATTAGTGGGGTACAATGTGAATGATTTAATACCTTTTAAGGGTACAAAGTGGCATTATTTCTTTCTGAGGGTGCAATGTACAAAGTGCCAAAATACTACATTTCGAGGATTCAAAGTGAAATTAAGCCATGAGTAGATATAGATACATCAATATCTAATATTCATGAACTTTTTATTGAATGTGGTATATGTACTTCATACACCACCACAATAATCATTTTTCATAAACTTCTAATGAATCTCGTTTGCTGGCATTGCAGTTTGTTCGCTTGTTTTTTCGTTCGGATCAATCTCCGTGTTCTGTTCCGGGGAGCTCGAGAAAACGGGACTCGAGTGGCCGTAAGTAGTAGGCGAGAAATTTGACGGATCGTCGTCGACATCATAATAATTATCATCTTTCTCGCTCGGCTTGTGTTTCTTGAAAGTATGCGACTTCAGATCTTTGTTGTCGAAATTTTTTATCAACCGTATTATCTTACTCCACGTCGTCGATTCGGGATCGGAGTGATTTAAGACGGTCGAATTTTCGCTTAGGAATTTAGCCGCGTAGATTATCAAAGCTGCGATCCCGACTATTCCTACAATCATAAAAAGCCCCCAAAAGCTCGCTAGCCCGAGATTCTTCGGTAAAAGCAACGCATTCGAGTCTAGACATTTCGTCTTATCCCCGAACCATTTCCTCTCGATTTCCACCATCTTTTGTCCCTCGGTCACATTCAAAATTGCTCTCGACACATCCGGTACTAAAGGAGAACCTATCGGAAAGACCTGCCAAAAAAAAAAAGATTTTCGAACAAAAACTTTGACAATGTAAAACGGAGACGTATATGTACACACGTACGAATCCGAAACCATCAGTCTTGTACGTGGGCCCGACCATCATGTATTTTGAGCAGTATTTGCCGAGGAGCAACTTTATATACGGGATCTCGTGAAACGCAGCAGCTACGCCACCGTTTCCGCTCCCTCGGGAGAGAAGTTCGTCCATTTGCTCCAATGAGGTGAATGGCCTAAGCCGCGACTCGTCGAAATTCATTTTCTTGAGAACTCCGAAAACAAACGACGTTTTCGAGTAGCCGACGTATTCCTTGTTCTGAATAAGCACGTTCACATCGGTTACTGTCGGCTGGAGTTTCTGAACAGTCAGCATCGACGTAAGACTGGCGGTGTAGCTTTGCGTTAGTATAAGAACAACCAAGAACCATATAATCAGCACGAACCGAGCCAAATTGCTTATCACCCTCTCCTCTGTAAAAATAAATTACGCGTAATTTTATTACGTATCCGTAAATTAAGTCGGTTTTAATCTTCGATAAAAGGGACTTACTGTGGGCGAATACCATAGTGGAGAAGGCGAACCAGAAAATCGTTCCGAACTGATACCAAAAAGGGCCTCGGAAATCTTCGTTGATTCGGTGTTCAAGAATCCAAATCAAGAATCCGACGAAAAGAAACGAGCAAAAACTCGTCAACCACAGCTGCCAAGTCAGCGGCTTGAGAAACACCCATGCGTTTTCGCTCTTGTCCTCTTCGATCAGTACAACCATCGAAATACCGGACTCTGTGTAAGGCAGAGTGAAGTCGACGTACTTTGATCTATTTCCCAAAATCGTTACATCTGCAGCCACAGCGTCGTACTTCTGCTCGTTGAATCAGCATAAAAAAAAAAAATATAGTCAGTCGACAAACATAGTTTTCGTTTTTAAGTTCGTACGTAAAAAGACGATACTTACTCCAAGGTAGACCTGATACGCCAAATCGTTGTAGTTTCCAGCCATCTTACGATCGGGGGTTGCAAACGGAACGTACTCATACTGCACACCATACGGCAATGCTGCCATCACTGCATCGAAAACATCTATGCAATATCCTTCCACTTTAGTAGTGTTGTCCGAATTCCACGTAACGCGCACGAACTCGGTGAAACCAACTTTTGCAGGAACCCCGACTCTCAATTTCTTCCCGTTTGTCGGTACCACCCAACCTTTAGGCGGAGAAGATTTGTCGCCCGGCCATATAATAGACCCAAGGTTGTCGTCCGAGACGCTCGTGAAATTCAGCTCTTTGACGATTCCATTCTCCTTCGTCCAGTATCCTATCACTCGAGCTCCGGGGCCCACCACGTTGACTATCTCGTACGGAGGCGCTTGGAGTTGACCGTCGACCAATTGAAAATCTCCGGCAAGACCTGTAAATTCGATACTCGATAAAGCCCGGATGAGCTTCGGTCCATTTAACGATACACCAAAGGCTTCAAGGTCGGTGGAATTTGTCGACGTGTTTGATTCTTGATACGTAAGATTGTCGAGTCCGGCCTTTTCTGCTGACATGGCGAGTGCGATGGCCGTGTCGTAAGCCCATAGCCCGTACACGTTAAGATTGTTCTGGCGAACCCTTCTCTTGTAACGGACCGTAAAATCGTCGAGTTCTTTCGTCTTCGTCACGTAAGGCTTCACTCCTATTACTCCCAGCATGGACTCGACGACGGTGGGGTCCATCGAGTTCAACTCGTTCGTAACGCTGTCCGTCACTATCCACGCGTAGTCCTTACTCATCATCCCAAGCTGCTTCGCTTTCGCGAAGAGGCGGGCTCCGAGATGAGTCAGCATGTGGACGACGAAAACTCGTGTCTGCATGGTCATCAGCTTGTACAGCTCGGCGACGATCTGATCATCGGTCGCTAGCGGCGGGACGACGCTCCTGTACGGCAAGCGTACGTTCACGTTTTCCAATGTGTCGGTTAAGAACGGTATGATCCCTTCCCCGAACTCGTTGTCCTCGTAGATCGGGACGACTTCTCGCCAACCGAAGGCGTGGACGATTGCGGCTATGGAGCCTACTTGCGAAGAGTCGTTTAGAGTGGCCCGAACGAAATACGGGCTTCGGAGAGACGAGAGAGACGGGCTTGTGGCCGAGAAGGTGATGATGGGAACTTGAGCTTTGTGTCCGAGAGAAATAAGGAAGTTGGCTTGGACAGAGAACATAGGGCCTATGATTGCTTGCACTTGGACATTCTTCAGTAGGTCCAAACCTGAATTTCGTCACGTGCAACAAAACTTTCATGTAATAAAATAAAATTATAAATTTTATATCATATTAATTACAAAATATACCCAAAAAAAAAAAAAAATTACAAACAAATAATAATAGTTTGATTTTAAATATTTATTTATTTAATTGATATTATTATTATTATTATTTTGTAAATGTTAGAAAATTAGGATTATTTGTGTCAAATTTTATTTGGTCAACGGAGAAAATGAGTTTGGGTTAGTAATCTAAATATATATAACCAAAGTTTATGCATAATAAATCAACATAATAGATTTATGAGTAATTCGATAAAATTAGGAGAGGAAATTGGAATTGGCATTTTCCGACAATTTTGAACCGAAATTTTCTAGTTGGGACAATATTTTATTTTTGAATTCCAAAAAAATATGATTTCCAATTTTGTTTCAATTTTTTTAGATCAAAATGGTAAATATATACGATACTTTATTTTCAATCTGATTTAATTTCCAGAACTAATTTCATAAATTCCGATTTTCCCAAAAATTACATATATAATATCAATATTATTATAAAACTATTTATTTTGAGAAACATTATTATAAAACTTATTAGGTGAATAAAAAATAGAATTTTTGAATTTCGTCGATTTTGTTCAAAAAAATTATAATTCCAAAGATAAGATCTTTTTATTCCAATTTTTAAAATTTCAATTTCCGATTTTTTGATTTTTTTTTTGGAACTGATTTTTTACTCACGACAAACATTGAATTTTTTATTTATTTTTATTCTTTCCAAATTCCTAATTTGAATCAGATTTTCGAAAAAAAAAATAAAAAAAATGCCACCTAAAAAGAAGCAGAAAGAGTGCAATTAATTAGTATTCGTGTTACTGTTAATTAATTACCTGCTGCAGCTGCCCCAACGACGTCGTATTTGGAGTCCCGATTGGTGAGAGCCAATCTCGTTCTATAATGATCATGCGTTGCATAGAAATCCGTAAGCGCCATTGATATACAGTTGAACGCCATCTTCCCATAATCATCCATATCCAGCACAACCCCAACTCTCACCGGAATGATCTGCGCCGTCGCCATTTTTGCCGTGAAGATCTTCAAATTGATCAGCAAGTGAAGGAAGAGATACATAATTGGATTGCCGCTGCAGGTAATTTTCTTCTCCATAGGGTTTGAGATCGACTTGCGTGAGTGGTTATGGTTTGGTTCAAAAGGTACCGATTTCGATTTCGATTTCGATTTCTCATGCAATTTGAAAAAAACACAGGCGATTTTTTGAATTTTTTTATATTGACTTGACTGGGCGAAGAAGAAGAGTGTGAAAGAGACACGTCTACGCCTCTGGCCATGGGGATGATCGAGACTGTTAATCAAACAAGGTAAACGCTCTCTCCGATTTTGTTTTTCTTCTTTTTACTTGCTGTATATGTTTTTTTCTTCTCTATTTATATCAACCACTTTGGATTCGTTCAACGCCAAGTATATCTGACCTAATCTTGATTGGAAATCCTTATAACAAAATTTGTTCTAATTTATGTGTCCGTTTATTTTTTGGGATCAATTGTAGAAACTACTGTGTATTCTGTGTTTTTTTGTTAGTGTTGGTGTTGATGCCTATTTCGTGTTTGTTGAAATTCCTAAAAGAATATGTATGGACTCTTAGTGAATGGCATCCCTCAGTAGGCATTTACTTTAACGAGGAGGAGTTCTAGTGGGACTGTGGAAGGGGTGAGTAGAAGTTTCTAAGACAGACAGCAAACTTTGAGTTCTACGACATGATTTTAGGTTTATATTTGGATACACTCTTTTGGAATACCCTCATACTGAAAGTTCGATTACTAGTGTCACTGAAGGACCCAACCGAAAATTCAAACTGGGACGAGTTTTAGATGTACATAAAATTATAAATAACCAAAACAGAATTCCAATTTATATGTAATAATTATAGTAAAGTACAAAGGTAAGAACATGAAAGGAAATAGAAGAGAACTTGTTGCTCCAAGTCCTGATAAGAGACTTTAAGGAAAAGAAAATGAAGCATGTAGCAATAGATTTATAAGTTACAATAACACCTCCTCAATCAAGGAAGAAAATATTAATCTTTCTATGCGCGGATGTTGAGGTTGTTATTTCGTTATCCATTCCGATCACCAAGCTCAATCTCTCCGTTCATCTTCTGAGGATTTTGTGGATGACGGTTTTCCCTGTACCACTTTAGTAACTCATCAAAATCTTTTATCTCCTCCAGATCGAGTTCAGTACGAGGGCATATCTTAATTCCACATGAGGTTCTAAATATAATGGCTACAATTACAGCTATTGCTACCATAACAAAGACTCCCTTGAAGCTTGACAGGCCAAGACTTTTAGGTGGAATTAAGGTGTCAGGGTCTGGACATTTTTCGTTTTTTTTCAACCACGTTGTCTCAATCTCCACCATCTTTTGGCCTTCGGTTACCTTCAAAATTTCTCTTGAAACATCAGGTACTAGAGGAGAATCTATTGGGAAGGCCTGCAAAGAAGAGAGACATTTTAGAAAACGAGTTGAAATGAAAACATATATATGGATCGATACATTTAAAAATATAACTAGTGAGGAGGGTCACGTACAAATCCAAAACCATCAGCCTTATACGTGGGTCCGACCATCATGTATTTCGAACAGTATTTGCCTAGAAACAGCTTTAAATACGGGATCTCGTGAAAGGCAGCAGCTATTCCACCATTTGCACTCCCGTTGGTGAGAAGTTCATGCATTTGCTCCGCTGAGTTGAATGGCCGAAGCCGTGACTCATCAAAATGTTTTTTCAGAAATCCAAAAACAAATGATGTGTTTGAGTAGCCTACATAGTCCTTGTTTCTTATAAGCGCATTAATATCAGTAATTGCTGGCTCTACCTTCTGGATTGTTAACATGGATGTAAGACTAGCGGAATAGCTTTGGGTTAATACAAATACTGCCAAGAGCCATATGATCAGCAGAAACCTGGCGCAGTTGCCTACCACCCTCTCCCCTACCAAAAAATCCAATGCCAAATGGTCAGAAACAACTTCTTGTTTTTATTAACCTTCAATATCAGTTTAGATGTTCACAATATTATCAATTGCCAAAACACGGCCTTAGATTTGCTCTACGTGTAACATTTGGCTAAAACAACTGTAGGTTAAGAGATGAAAGGTGGCTTACTGTGAGCAAAGACCATGGTGGAGAAGGCGAACCAGAATATCATGCCTAATTGATGCAAAGTAGACCCACCGAATTCTGTATTTTTCTCGCGTTCAAGAAGCCAAACCAAAAACCCAACCGCAACACAAGAGATAAAGGTTGTGATCCACAGTTGCCAAGTCAGTGGTTTAAAAACAAGCCATGTATTTTTCCTCTTATCGTCTTGGATTTTTACAACCATTGAAACACCAGACTCAGTATATGGCAGAGTGAAGTCGACGTACTGTGACCTATTTACTAGAATTGTTACATCTCCAGCCACAGCGTCATAGTTCTGTTCATTGATTAGGAAAAAACGTTAGCTGTAGTATATTGCATCTTGCTCCATGTTGATTAAAGTGTGTTTGGTTTTTAAATTCATAGGAAAAAGGAAGATACTTACTCCAAGGTACACTTGATAGACCAACTCATTGTAATTACCAGCCATCTTGTGGTCAGGAGTTGCAAATGGAATGTATTCATACGGCACGCCGTATGGTAGTGCTGCCATCACTGCATTAAAAACATCTATGCAGTATCCTTCCACTGTTGTAGAATTGTCGGAATTCCAAGTTACACGAACGAAATCAGTGAAACCAGCCTTTACAGGTACTCCTACTCTCAGTTTCTTCCCTCTCGTAGGAACCACCCAACCTTTAGGTGGAGATGGTTCGTCGCCTGGCCATATAGTGGGCCCAAGGTTGGACTTGGAAGTGGCATAGTTTTTTTTGGATGCAATTGTGATGTTCAGTTCTTTAACAATCCCACTCTCTTTCGTCCAATATCCTATGCCTCTAGCTCCTGGACCTACCATATTGACTATCTCGTATGGAGGCGCTTGGAGTTGACCATCGACCAATCGAAAATCTCCAGCAAGGCCTCTGAATGTGATGTTTGATAAAGCCTGAATCAGCTCTGGTCCACTTAATGATACTCCAAAGGCTTCAAGATCTGTAGAACTTGTAGACATGTTTGTCTCTTGATATGTAAGATTTGCTAACCCTACTCTTTCTGCTGCCATGGCTAGTGCAATGGCTGAGTCATAAGCCCATAGCCCGTATATGTCCACACCAAGGGCTTTTGGATTGCTCTGCAGAACCTTTTTCTTGTATTGAGTTGTAAAGTCGTCCAGTTCCTTTGTCTGTGGAACATAAGGTTTTACCCCTATTACCCCTAGCATAGATGCTATGACAGAACGATCCATTGAGTTTAAATCGTTTGTGATGCTATCTGTTATTATCCATGCATAATCTTTACTCATCATTCCTAGTTGCTTCACTTTGGTGAACAGGCGAGAAGCAAGAGGGTTCAACATGTGGACGATGAAAACTCTGGTTTGCATAGCCATCAACTTGTAAAGCTCTGCAAGGATTTGATCATCTGTTGCTGATGGTGAAATGACACTCCTATAAGGTACGCGCACATTTACCTGTTCTAAGGCATCAGTCAGAAATGGTAGAATCCCTTCTCCAAATTCAGTGTTCTCATAAACGGCCACAACTTCTCTCCATCCAAAGTCTTGAATAATTGCAACTATGGCGCCTACTTGTGAAGAGTCTTTTAGAGTAGCCCTGATGAAATATGGACTCCGAAGTGATGAAAGAGAAGGACTTGTGGCTGAGAAGGTAATAATAGGAACATGAGCTTTGTGTCCAAGAGAAATAAGGAAGTTAGCCTGACTTGAGTACACGGGACCTATGATTGCTTGCACTTCAACGTTCTTCAGTAGGTCCAGACCTGCATTTCATGTGCAACAAAACGTTCATCAGTCGATTGCCTACATTCTGGAAGGTGCATCTTGAATCTGTTTGCACTTTCCCAGTATATGGTAATATTTCAGCTAGTACTTCAACACAATTTTTCCATGTAAAGAACTGAATAGTAGTAGATACAGCCACATCTTGAGTGAATATTTAGAAAATTTTAATATTTCAATGTTCTTCCTCCTTTCTTGAAAATTGAAGTTTTGTGGGCTTAAATTTTTTTTAAAATCTCACTTATACAACTAGGAAAAGTTTATAGCTTTTATTGGGAAAAATATGTATAATGCTTAAGCAAACTAGCCTGTGAGGAACAGATAAATAAGAGTGTTTTTTGGCCCTGTGATATCTAGTAACATCTTGTTCTGTTGAACTTGAGCAAGAAACTAACAATATAGTAGTAGAGCGTTTACTCTTTCTTATACATAAACTTGTTTCCCGGACAGACTAAAATGCCATACCCAAAAAAATCATTATGGATTGTTCCTACAGAATTGTAATTTGAAATTTATAGAATTTCTTGATTGCCAACTAGTTTAATTAATAACATCCATTTTCAGACAAGACAAAGCGATTGACCCATTGTTTCACATGGGAGACCTCAGAACAAGAATAAGAAAATCATTGAATAGTTAATAGGCTAAATCAAATTATAACTTTTTGTTTCCTCTATTTCTTCTTCCTTATTTCCTGAGTGTGTGTTATATGTTTTTTTATAGGCAGAGTACCTGCTGCAGCTGCTCCAACGGCATCGTCTTTGGAGTCCCGGTCGGTAAGAACCAGCTTCGTTCTATATTGTTTGTGCGTAGAGTAGAAATCCGTAAGCGCCATTGATAAGCAGTTGAATGACATCTGTCCAAAACCATCCATGTTTAACACAACCCCTACTCTTACAGTGATGTTCTGAGCCGTCGCCATTTTTGTAGGAAAAATCTTCAAAGTGATCAATAAATAAAAGAAGAGATGCAGAATTGGTTTGCTGCAGGTAATTCTTCTCTTCTCCATATCCTTTTTTCCTAAATTTTGCATGTTTGAGACTTGAGAGAATGATCATTGTTTGGTTACCATTGTTTGAAGGGTTTGTCTTCAACTGTCACATCCACAGTTAAAATATAGGTAGGGCCCAAAACATGGTCTGTGCTATGTGTATAATACAGAATATATATATAATCCAGCATGGTGTGTGCTGAAAGAATCATAGAGTTTACTTTTGTGAAGTCAATGACGTATCACCAACATGCATGCAACTTGATGAAAAAAATGGTTGGTAATTTTTAAGCTGATCCGAAAAGTTATATGATCTTTCCCTTTATTTTACTTTTACAAATAGCACAAGTCTTAAATAGTTTCTGTAATTTATTCCAAAATATAAAATACCTATTGGTTTCGTCACCAACAGTCCTTGTATCCTATTGACTATTTGTTAAAGGTAACCTTTTATCGTCAATTAAGGCCTTAGGTTGGTATTGTGGCTTTTTCTCTCACTGTGGGGTGTGGGAGAGGACGGGGTTCAAATTTGATTGGGTGTGTACGTGTGTGTTGACTTGGTCAAGAAGAAGAATATAAATAAGTCTTCGACCAGAAAGGTCAACTTTCCATAAGGCTCAAGACGTGAAGACAAGCACACTCATAGTCTACTTGTCATTCTTTTCTCTACTCATTTCCCAATCCATTCCACTTGCAGATTACACCTTTCCAATTACCTGTAAATTAAAATTAAATTTAGGGTATTTTGTATTGTAATTACTCAAGAGAGTGTTCGCAATTTTAGAACATAATTTAAATATTGCATGTTATTGAAAAATTGGAATGTTTCGTAGCCCGTAAAACACTCTGCGTAAATTACAAAATATATTCTCAAGATTCACAGAAGGATTCTGTTTTATTTCCAACTTCCATGTAATCACAGAGCTGAGTAAATAATGTAAATTTGATTTTTTTTCCTTTTGTCCTTTTTTATTGGTAAAACTGACTTTGAGTGATTCATTGTGTACAAATGTAGTTGAGTTTGGCAAAAAGAAGAAGAAGAATTGGAGAAAGGAGACCTCGATCAGATACGTCTGCACGTGCGGCACGAAGCTCAACATGTTAGACAAGGATACTCAAATTCTTACTCGGTACCCAAATATGAACTCCTAGAAATTATCTCCTTACTTCCATTGTCGTGCTCGTAATGATTGTCATTCCTCAGTAAACATTTAATTCCTTGTGCATCTCATTTTCACTGTTAGCTTAAGTTTTTCCATCGTAAAAGCTATAATGTAGAAGAATCCAAATATGTTTGACGAGAGGGAATTATAGTGGGAATATGTAAGGGGTGAGTAGAACTTTCCAAGACAGCAAAAATTTGAGTTTCTATGTCATGATTTCGAACACATTTCTTAGTCTCACTCTCACACCCTTACAACTTACAAGAGTCAATGAGGAATCGATAAAAAATGCAAACTTTTGGATAAAGTTTTATGAGGATATACATAACCAAAACAAAGTTCAAATTTATGTATCATAATCACAGTAAAAGCAAAAGGTTAGAACATGAAACAAAACATAAGAGAACTTGCCGATCAAAGTCCCAAGAAGATATTCTCAGAAGAGAAGTTAATCACGTTATTTCAAGAAAGAGAATTTAAGGGGAAAAAAATTACGAAACACGTAGAATGAGATTTAGAAATTAGGATACCACCTCCTCAATTAAGAGTCGCACACCAATCTTTATTTTGAGGTAAACAGAAACCTGACAGCCACATGTGCTAGAGTTTAGGTGTTAGTCTTTCCTTGAAAGTCTTTAGTGACTGCCATAACTCATATATCTGTCTCTCAATTGTGGGATCATTATCGACAATTTTGGGATCATTATGGATAATTGGGGGATCATTATGGATAATTGGGGGATCATTATGGATAATTGGGGATCATTATGGACAATTGGGGGATCATTATGGATAATTGGGGGATCATTATGGATAATTGGGGGATCATTATGGACAATTGGGGGATCATTATGGACAATTGGGGGATCATTATGGACAATTGGGGGATCATCTTTATGGACATTCTTATTTTCACGTCCTTGTCTAATCATATAATTTATGACCACTGCTATTCCAACTGTTCCTACAATAATAAAGACTACCCTGAAGCTTGATAGGCCAATACTTTTGGTGTCAGTGTCTGGACATTTGGACTCATCTCCCAACCACTTCTTTTCAATATCCACCATTTTTTGAACCTCAGTCACATTCAAAATTTCTCTCGAAACATCAGGTACTAGAGGAGAATCTATTGGAAAAACCTGCAAATAAGAGAGAAAGAGAGTCTAGAAAGCAAAAATAAAAATAAAAAATGAAAACATATATATAGTGAAGAGGGTCACATACAAATCCGAAACCAGCAGCCTTATAAGTGGGTCCGACCATCATGTATTTCGAACAGTATTTGCCTAGAAACATCTTTATATATGGGATCTCATGAAAGGCAGCTGCTATTCCACCATTTGCACTCCCTTTGGAGAGAAGTTCATCCATTTCCTCTGCTGAGTTGAAAGGCCGAAGTTGCGACTCGTTAAAAAGGTTTTTCAGAAATCCATATACAAACGATGTATTCGAGTAGCCTACATAGTCCTTGTTTCTTATAAGCTCATTAACATCATTCACTATCAGCTGCTGGGCTGTTAACATGGATGTAAGACTGGAAGCATAGCCTTGGGTTAATATAAATACCGCCAATAGCCATGCAATCACCACTATCTTGGCGGAGTTGGTTTTCACCTTCTCCTCTACCAAAAAAAAAAAAAGTCAATGCCAAAATTGGCAGAGTTAATTAAGTAGGTTTTAATATTTGGTAAAAAAGGACTTACTGTAGTTTAAAAGATGAAAGGTAGCTTACTGTGAGCAAAGAACATGGTGGAGAAGCTGAACCAGAATATCATGCAAAATTGGTCCCAACGAGACCCTCTGAAATCTCTATTTTCTGGGCGTTCAAGAAGCCAAACCAAAATCCCAATTATAACAAAAAAGAAGAATATTGTTGACCACAACTCCCAAGTCAATGGCTTCACTAATATCCATGTATTTCCCTTCTTATCCTCTGGGATCGGTACAACCATCGAAACACCAGACTCTATAAAAGGCAGAGTGAAGTCTACGTACTGAGACCTATTTCCTAGAATTGTTACGTCACCAGCCACAGCGTCATAGTTCTATTCATCAATAAGCAGAGAATAGAAGAATTCAGGCATAGTATAGTGCATCTTGCTTTGTGCTGATAGAAAATGTATTTGATTTTTAAATTCAATAAGAAAAGGGAAAATACTTACTCCAAGGTACACTTGATAGGCCATTTCATTATAATCTCCAGCCATCTTGTGATCAGGAGTTGCAAATGGAATGTATTCATACGGCACATCATATGGTAGTGCTTTCATCACCGCATCAAAAATATCTATGCAGAATCCTTCCACTGTCGTAGAATTGTCGGAATTCCATGTAACACGGACGAATTCAGTGAAACCATCCTTTACAGGCACGCCTACTCTCATTTTCTTGGTTTTTGTTGGAACCACCCAACCTTTAGGTGGCGATGATTCGTTGCCTGGCCATGTAATTGATCCGAGGTTGTCTTTGGAAGTTGAATATGCGCTTGCGCTTGAACTACTGAAGTTTAGTTTGTTGACAATTCCATTCTCTTTTGTCCAATATCCTATACCACTAGCTCCAGGACCAACAATGTTGACTATTTCGTAAGGCGGTGCTTGGAGTTGGCCATCGACTAATTGGAAGTTTCCAGCAAGGCCTCTAAACGTGATACTCAATAAAGCCTGAATGAGCTTTGGTCCACTTAACGATACCCCAAAGGCTTCAAGATCTGTAGAATTTGTCGACGTGTTCGTCTTCTGATATGTAAGATTTGCTAACTCTGCTTTTTCAACTGCCATGGCTAGTGCAAGGGCCGAGTCATAAGCCCATATACCATATATGTCCAGATTTAGAGCTTTTGGATTGCTCTGCTGAATCTTGTTTTTGTATCGAATTGCAAAGTCGTCCAGCTCTTTTGTCTGTGGAATATAAGGTTTTACTCCTATTACTCCTAGCATCGATGCTACGAGAGAAGGATCCATTGCAGTTAATTCGTTTGTGATGCTGTCTGTTATTATCCATGCGTAATCTTTACTCATCATTCCTAGTTGTGCTGCTTTGGCGAACAGGCGAGAACCGAGACTGCGTAACATGTGCACGATGAATACTCTTGTTTGCATAGTCTTCAGCTTGTTAAGCTCATCGACAATTTGTTCGTCTGTTGCTAATGACGGAATGACACTCCTGTAAGGTACGCGCACATTTACCTGTTCTAAGGCATCGCTTAAAAACGGTACAATCCCTTCCCCGAATTCGTTATCCTCATAGATTGGCACGACTTCTTTCCATTTAAAGGCTTGAATAATTGCAACTATGGGGTTTACTTGCGTAGAGTCGTTTAGAGTAGCCCGAACGAAATAAGGACTCCTTAGTGATGAAAGAGAAGGACTTGTGGCTGAGAAGGTAATAATAGGAACGTGAGCTTTCTGTCCAAGAGAAATAAGGAAATTAGCCTGTACCGAGTACATGGGACCTATTATGGCTTGCACTTCAATATTCTTCAGCAGGTCCAAACCTGCATTTCATGGGCAACATAACATAGTTGTATGCTTTTTATTTTGAAATTAAGATGTAAAAAGCGATGACCGTTTAGGGTATTTCTCATCTAGGAAAAAAAATTCACTTGATCTGGATTTGTCAGTAGTAATGAACGTTATCAAAAGATGTCACGTGGTGAAGAAAATAGTCCTTTTACCCTATTATCCTTCAATATCGGTAATGTTGTGATGCGATTTCCGTAAAGAAATATTTTGGTGAGGGTAAATATGTTATACATTGGGATTACTATGTTTGGGTAAGTTTCCAATTATGCTTGAAGTATAGTTAGAAGAACAAGTAATGCTGCTGAAGCCTGAAAGTTATAACCAACAGAAAAGTTGGCAGTTGGGCCCAATTGAATATTCATCCTACAGCATCTGACATAGTAATTAAAAAATCTTACTATATGAGTTGATTACGTTTATAATTTTTTTATATTTTTTTCGTTTCTTCCTTGTTTCTTGAATGTGTGTTGTGTGTGTTTTAGGCGGAGTACCTGCAGCAGCTGCCCCGATGACGTCTCCGTTGGAGTCCCGGTTGTAGAGAAACAGCCTCGTGTTGTAAGAATCATGTGTAGTGTAGAAATCCGATAGCGCCATTGATATGCAGTTGAATGCCATCTTTCCATACTCATCCATGTCTAGCACCACTCCTACTCTTACAGAGATGTTCTGTGCCGCTGCCATTTTTGTTGAGAAAATCACGGCACATAAATAACAGAAGAGATGCAAAATGACATATCTGCAGGTTTTGATCTTCTCCATTTCTTTTTTTTTTCTTTCTAGATGATGATTTAATTTGATTACCAAAAAAAAATGCATACACAGGGCATTGTGTTTTTGGATGTTTGAATTTGAACTGTTACATCCAGAACTAAGTACATGGTGTAGGACCCAAAATGAGCTGTCCTAATATATTGTATTTTGAAGTTTCTTTGGAGAATCATGGGAGTTTACTTTTGTAAAGTCAATGAGCTATCCAAAATTGGTTGATGTTGTAAATTTTCATAAATGCTTGTTAAAAGGTTTGATTAGAATGATTTTTTTTTTATGTTACGGCCACCCCCGAGTTAAGATTAAATTACGACAAACTCACTTATGTTTGGATAATTACAACCATCCATCGACTATGAATCTTCTACGCGTACACCCTTACGGTGTCAAATTCAACGTAATCTTCTAGATTATGGAAGATTCCAAATTTGACACCGCAAGGATGGACTTGAGGGGATGATTAATTGATTATAAATATCCAAACATGAGGGATTTTTTCGTAATTTAGCATTACCCTATGGGAATGACCGTAATTTACCCTTATAAACAATTATTCATTCATTCTTGAGGTTTGACTTATTACAAAAAAAACTCGAACTCTTCGAAATTTGAAATTTACATGAGGCAATTAGGGTGATTAATCATGTTTAGCAACTTCTATGGTTGACTTTGACTTTGAAAGATTTATTGGTTATAAATGTAATTGATTTGGCAAGGCAGGGGAAGACGTGAACAAAGTGCTCTTACTCAGAATATTGAAAATGTATTTATTACAAGTGCAAATATTTAAATCTAACTAGAGCGGATAATATTGACAACCTCGGAGTACTTTATGAGAAGAAGAATCCAAGTTGTCGTCACTCGTGACAGAGATGTTGGTAATTAATAATTACTGATTTATATTCTTTTTAATGATTGCATTGATGGATTGTGTGGATGCCTAGTACATGTTTGTTGAAATGCCTACAAGAATATTAACTCTTAGAAATTGCCTGCATTCTTCCATTGTCATACTCAAGTCATGCATCTCTTTTCCTCTATTAGCTCGTACTTAAGGTGAAATCTGTAGCTTTGTGATTTTTCCTAAACAGCCCTTCTCCGAATTTCTACACAATTACATTTTTTTCGATATTGTATCAATGCTAGTTTTAATGCTAATGATGTGTTATCGCAAATCAAAATTTCAGGCATTAAAGCTCCTAAGGAACTATCTTGGAACAAGACACTAATCGAGATCTTTTTTTCTTTTATTCTTCTTGAAATGTTAGATGAGAGTACTCTTCTACAATGGAAATGAAATTACAAGATGTCATCTTACCCCTATCTGATTGAGATGAAAGATAAAGCTACCACACTTAGTGAACTTCATGCGCCAAGTCCACCGTTGTTGATGACAATTGCTCGTTTTGATTCGGATTGACAAGTTCGATTTCTTGCTGCATAGCTCGAAAATCTACATTCTGCGCATTTGGGCTCGAGAAGTCGGGCCATTAGTACACGGAGAGGCCACTGAAAAAGTCGACGGACTAAATCGAAAATCATGTTCGTTAGATGATTCTGCTGCTCACTTCACGCAATCACCTCCACAGCCACTCTCTCTATCTCTATTTTTCGCGTAGGAATTTGATCGCGTAGATTATCAATGCTGAAGCTGCAGCAATTCCCACTATCAAGAACAGCCCCCAAAAGCTCTCTAAACCGATACTGTTGGACGAGAACAAAGTACTAGAATCTGGACATTTGGTTTTATCGATCATTTTCTTATATTGACTTGACTGGGCGAAGAAGAAGAAGAAGAGTGTGAAAGAGACCTCGGCCAGACACGTCTACGCCTCTGGCCATGGGGATGATCGAGACTGTTAATCTTACTCAGGTAAACGCTCTCTCATTTTGCTTTAATATTACCACTTGCTGTATATGTTTTTTTTTCTTCTATTTATATCAACCACTTTGGATTCGTTCAACACCAAGTATATCTGACCTAATCCTGATTGGGAATCCTTATAACAAAATGTGTTCTATTTATGTGTCAGTTTATTTTTTGGGGTCAATTGTAGAAACTATTGTTTGAGGGGGTATTCTGTGTTTTTTTTTTTTGTTAATGTTGGTGTTGATGCCTATTTCATGTTTGTTGAAATGCCTAAAAGAATATGTATGATCTCTAGTGAATGGCATCCCTTAGTAAACACTTTAACGAGGAGGAATTCTAGTGGGACTGTGGAAGCGGTGAATAGAAGTTTATAAGACAGCCAAATGTGAGTTCTACGACATGATTTTAGGTCATTTGGACACACTCTTTAGGTATACCCTCATACTAAAAGTTTGACTACTGAAGGACCTAAACTAAAATTTAAACCGGGACGACTTTTAGATGTGTATAGATAACCAACACAGAATTCCAATTTATATGTCATAATTACAGTAGAGTACAAAGGTTCGAACATGAAATGAAACAGAAGAGAACTTGCTGGTGCAAGTCCTAAGAAGAGAAATCAAGGAAAAGAAAATGAAACATGTAGCAACTGATTTATGATTTACAATAACACCTCTAGCTTTTTTTATGTTTCCTTGATGTCCCTTTAACAGAGTTCATTTTTTTTTCCTTCTTTGTAATGATATTTTAATCAAAGCTAGTGATTTGTAGCCCATATCAGAAATTGAAAGGTAGCATACATCTGCTATTGCACTTGTGAAGTTATACACATTTAAAGTGGCGATGACTATCTTGCTACAGCAAAAGCAAAATGTAGAACAATCCAAATATGTTGACGAGGATGAACTGTAGTAGGATTGTGGAAAGGGGGAGTAGAATTTTCTAAGATAGCAAGATTTGAGTTTTTACCTCACGATTTGGAACACCCTTCTTAGTATCACATCTTCATACTAAAAGTTCGGTTACAGCTTACAAAGTGTCACGGAGGATCCAACAAAGAGTACCAATATATCACAATCATAGTGGAAGCAAAAAATTACAAATTAGGTGATTCACTCGCTTTAATTCAGATTCTTAGACTAATTGCCTTGTTCATCTCTATTATTGAACCTCATCGGTAACTCATGTAACTCATGTTCATGTAAATGTGCCCGAATTGCGGGCAGTTCATTTGGATTCTCAGGTACATTGCCTTGTTGACCACCTCCTACCTCGTACCTCCTGTTCAGTAACCGATGTAATTCATCTCTCTGGCTCTGCGCTGTGAGTTCATCACCAGGGAATTGCGGTTTTTTACTGAAGAATCTAAATATAAGTGCTAAAACTCCAGCTATTCCTACCATAATAAAGAGTCCCCTGAAGCTTGAAAGGCCAAGACTCTTAGGTGGAAGTAAGCTGTTAAGGTCTGGACATTTGGTCTTATCTCCCAACCACGTCGTCTCAATCTCGACCATCTTCTGGCCCTCCGCCACATTCAAAATTTCTCGTGAAACATCAGGTACTAGAGGAGAATCTATTGGGAAGACCTGCAGCAAAGAAGAGAGATATTTTATTAAAAGTACAGAAAACGACAACATAGAATGAAAAAAAAATATATGTGATAGATACACTTGAAAGTAGGTGATGAGGAGGGTCACATACGAATCCAAAACCTTCAGCCTTGTACGTGGGCCCGGCCATCATGTATTTTGAACAGTATTTGCCTAGAAACAGCTTTATGTACGGGATCTCATGAAAGGCAGCTGCTATTCCACCATTTGCACTCCCTTTGGAGAGAAGTTCATCCATTTCCTCCGCTGACTTGAATGACCGAAGTCGAGATGCATCAAATTCCATTTTCTTGAGAAATCCAAAAACAAATGATGTGTTCGAGTAGCCTACATATTCCTTGTTTCTTATGAGCTCATTAATATCAGTAACTGCTGGCTCCACCTTCTGGATTGTTAATATGGATGTAAGACTGGCGGAGTAGCTTTGGGTTAATACAAATACTGCCAAGAGCCATATGATCAGCAGAAACCTGGCGCAGTTGCTTATCACCCTCTCCCCTACCAAAAAATTCAATGCCAAATGGTCAGAAACAACTTCTTGTTTTTATTAACATTCAATATCAGTTTAGATGTTTACAATATTATCAATTGCCAAAACACGGCCTTAGATTTGCTCTAGTGTAACATTTGGCAAAAATGACTGTAGTTAAAAGATGAAAGGTGGCTTACTGTGAGCAAAGACCATGGTGGAGAAGGCGAACCAGAATATCATGCCAAATTCATGCAAAGGAGACCCGCTGAATTCTGTATTTACATCACGTTCAAGAAACCAAACCAGACACCCAATTGCAACACAAGAGAAAAAGGTTGTGAACCACAGCTCCCTAGTCAGTGGCTTAAAAACAAGCCATGTATTTTTGCTCTTATCGTGTTGGATTGGTACGACCATTGAAACACCAGACTCAGTATACGGCAAAGTGAAGTCGACGTACTGTGACCTATTTGCTAGAATTGTTACATCCCCAGCCACAGCGTCATAATTCTGTTGATTGATTAGAGAAAAGGTCAGCTGTACCATCTTGCTCTATGTTGATAAAAAAATGTGTTTGATTTTTAAATTCATTGTAATAAAGAAGATACTTACTCCAAGGTACACTTGCTGGGTCAGCGCATTGTAATCACCAGCCATCTTGTGATCAGTTGTTGCAAATGGAATGTATTCATACGGCACACCATATGGCAGTGCTGCCATCACAGCATCAAAAACATCTATGCAGTATCCTTCCACTGTTGTAGAATTGTCGGAATTCCAAGTTACACGAACGAAATCTGTGAAACCATCCTTTACGGGTACTCCTACCTTCAATTTCTTCCCTCTTGTAGGAACCACCCAACCTTTAGGTGGAAATGATTCGTCGCCTGGCCATATAGTAGGCCCAAGGTTGGACTTGGAAGTGGAATATTCATTTGTGCTTGAACTAGTGAAGTTCAGTTTGTTGATGATTCCGTTCTCTTTTGTCCAATATCCTATGCCTCTAGCTCCAGGACCAACCATATTGACTATCTCATATGGAGGCGCTTGGAGTTGGCCATCGACCAATCGAAAATCTCCAGCAAGGCCCCTAAATGTGATATTTGATAAAGCCTGAATGAGCTCTGGTCCACTTATTGATACTCCAATGGCTTCAAGATCCGTAGAATTTGTTGATGTGTTCGTTTCTTGATATGTAAGATTTTTTAGTCCTGCAGTTTCTGCTGCCATGGCTAGTGCTATGGCCGAGTCGTAAGCCCATAGCCCGTAAATGTCCACGCCAAGGGCTTTTCGATTGCTTTGCAGAACCCTTTTCTTGTATCGAGTTATAAAGTCATCCAGTTCCTTTGTATTTGGAACATAAGGTTTTACTCCTATTACTCCTAGCATGGATGCTATGACAGAAGGGTTCATTGAATTTAAATCGTTTGTGATGCTATCTGTTATTATCCATGCATAATCTTTACTCATCATCCCTAGTTGTTCCACTTTGGTGAACAGGCGAGAAGCAAGAGGGTTCAACATGTGGACGATGAAAACTCTGGTTTGCATAGCCATCAACTTGTAAAGCTCTGCGAGGATCTGATCATCTGTTGCTGAAGTTTGAATGACACTCCTGTACGGTACACGCACTTTTACCTTTTCTAAGGCATCGGTTAAAAATGGTATAATCCCTTCTCCAAATTCAGTATTCTCGTAAATGGTTACAACTTCTCTCCATCCAAAGGCTTGAATGATTGCAACGATTGCGCCTACTTGTGAAGAGTCTTTTAGAGTAGCCTGAATGAAATATGGACTACGAAGCGATGAAAGAGAAGGACTCGTGGCTGAGAAAGTAATGATGGGAACTTTAGCTTTGAGTCCAAGAGAAATAAGGAAGTTAGCCTGACTTGAGTACACGGGACCGATGATGGCTTGCACTTCAACATTCTTCAGTAGGTCCAGACCTGCATTTCATGAGCAAGAAATCATTCAGTTGACTGTTACAATTAGTAATGTGCATCTTGAACGGTTTGCACTTCTCCCAGTATAAGGTAATATTTTAACTACTATTTTAATACAAATTTTCCTGGTATAGAATCTCATTTGTTGGAAAGAAAACTGAATAGTACTAGATACGTCCATCTTGAGAGTGAATATTTAGTCAATTTAATATTTCAATGTTTCTCCGCACCTGTTGAAAATTCAAATTTTTTGGGCTTAAAATTTCTTTAAAACAGATCACGCCTATACATTTAGGACTAGTTTATAGCTTTTATTGCGAAAAATATGTATAACTAGCACTTGCTTAAGCAAACTGACCTTTGAGGAACAGATAATTCAGACTCTGTTTTGTCTCTATGATATCTAGCCGATAAACATTTGTTCTGTTGAACCTATGCAAGATACTGACGATATAGTACAATGTTACTGTTATAAATGTACTTATCTATCGAACGTTTTTATAAATGTACTTATCTATCGAACGAGCTAAATTGCTAATATTCTAAAATTTCTGAATTTCGAACTAGTTTATTGAATAGTCTACATTTTCCAGACAAGATAAAGCTATTGAGTATTGACCCATTGTTTGATATGGTAGACCTCATAACAAGAATAAGAAAACCAGAGAATTATGTAAATTAAATAAACCTCTTATCAGGTTAGGTCTGATTATCTTTTTATCCTAATATATATATATATCTATATATATATATATATATATATATATATATATATTAATTCGAAATTTTAAGATAAGACAAAGGCGATGGCTGTTGATGTGCTACTCATCATCGCAACAGAAAATGGTTGCATAAGAAAATTATGACCAACGGATTTGTTTTGCAGTTCGGCCCTACTTGAAGGAAATAATATATGAAAAAGGCTAGCAAAAGAAATGAAGTTTGAAGGCAAAGAAAAATTCATCATCCTAGAGCATTTGACAAATAAACATCTTACGGTACGAGTTGGTTAAGTGCATAATCTTTTTTTCTTTCTATTTCTTCCTCCTAATTTCCTGAGTGTGTGTGGGTGTGTATTTTTTAGGCTTTGATGTACCTGCTGCAGCTGCCCCAACGACGTCGTTTTTAGAGTCCCGACTGGTGAGACTCAGCTTCGTTCTATATTTGTCATTTGTAACATAAAATTCCGAGAGGGCCATTGATATGCACGTGAATGTCATCCGTCCAAATGCATCCATGTCTAACACAACTCCGACTTTTACACGGATGATTTGGGCCGTTGCTGTTTTTGTGGAGAAAATATTTAAAGTGATCAGTAAGTAAAAGAAGATACACAAAATGGGATTATCGTTGCAGGTATTTTTCTTCTCCATATCTTTTTGGCAAAATTTTGCGTGTTTGAGATTCGAGAGAATGGGATCATTCTTTGGTTAACATTGTTTGGATGTTTGAACATGAACTGTCACATCAGCTAAAATATATGTAATACAGTTTGCTGAAAGAATCATGGAGTTTACTTTTTAAAAGTCAATGAACCATCCAACATGCATGCAACTAGATGAAAAAAAAAGGGCTGATACTTTCTTAGTTGACCTGAAAAGTTATATGGTTATTTATTTTATTTTTACAAATAGCACAAGTCTTAAGTAATTTCTGTAGTTTATTCTAGAATACAATTATAAAACACCGATGAGTTTCAAGTTTCAACACCAACAATTCTTGCACCCGATTGGCGAATTTGTAAAGTTAACGTTTATGGTAACTTTTTATTGTCGATCAAGGTTTAACTTAGGTTGGTATTGTGGTTTCTCTCAGTGTGGGGTGTCAAGAAGATGGGGTTCAAATCTGTTTGAGTGTGTATTTAAAACGGTATTTGGATTAAAAAATAATAATAATAATAATAAATAAACCATTGGATATTACTGTAATTGACTTAGCCAAGAAGAAGAATGTAAATAAGTCCTAGGTCATTGGATATTACTGTAATTGACTCATTCTAGTTGTCATTCTTTTCTCTACTCATTCTACTTGCAAATTTTAATAGGGTATATCTAAATAGATTTTGAAGGCTCGGGATTTCGTAATCCAGAGTGAAGTTCATAATTCCGGACTTTGTAGCCCGAACTACGCTACGGGCTACAAAGCCCAGAATTATGCCTTTTTCTCTTAAACCGTGAAATTGAATTTAAATATTTAATTTTAAATTTTAGACAATACGGGCTTCGTATCCCGGACTTGAACTAAAAGCACCGGGTTTCTTATCCAGGAATACATGTCGTCTAAAGTATGAAATATATTCTTAAGGTTTACTTACTTACAAAAGAAGAAACTATTTTTATGTTGAACTTTCAAGTTAAATATATATATCTTAAAGATTAAGAGAGAAATATTTGAACTTTGTTAGGGAGTGCTTGTAATCTTGAGATAACTTAAGAGTTGTGGCTGATTGAAGTCCCAAGAAGATATTCTCAGAAGAGAATTTAATCCCAAGACATTATTATTTCAACAAATACAATTTAAAGTGGGGGGAAAAACGATGAAACACGTAGAATGAGATTTACAAATTAGGATACAACCTCCTCACAACGACGAAAAACCTGTATGTGACAGCATTTTGGTGGTTCACTAGTTTCCATTCCGATTCCCAGGATTATTTATTTGTTGGTCTCTTTCCTCGCAACGCTTGAGTAACTCACATAACTCATAAATCTGTCTCTCGATTGTGGGTTCGTCACTGTGGACATGAGTTCCATATCCGAACATAATCATATAACTTATAATCGCTGCAAGTCCGGTTGCTCCGACAATAATAAAGACCACCCTGAAGCTTGATAGGCCGAGACTTTTGGTGTTAGTGTCCGGCCGTTTGGCCTCACCTCCCAACCACTTCTTCTCAATCTCCACCATCGTCTGGCCCTCGGTCACACTCAGAATTTTCCTCGAAACATGAGGTACTAGAGGAGAATCTATTGGGAAGACCTGCAGAAAAGAAGAGAGAAGTAGAGTCTAGAAAGAAAAAAAGACGACAACGCAAAATGGAAACGTATATGTAGTCAAGGGAGTCACATACAAATCCGAAACCAGCAGCCTTATATGTGGGTCCGACCATCATGTATTTTGAACGGTATTTTGCTATAAACAGATTTAAGTATGGAATCTCGTGAAAGGCAGCAGCAATTCCACCGTTTGCACTCCCTTTGGAGAGAAGTTGATCCATTTCCTCCGCTGACTTGAACGGCCGAAGTTGCGACTTATCGAAACGTTTTTTCAGAAATTCGTATACAAAAGAGGTATTGGAGTAGCCCACATATTCCTTGTTTCGAATAAGCTCGTTAACATCAGTATCTGTCAGTTTCTGGACTGTTAACATGGATGTGAGACTCGAAGCATAGCCTTGGGTTAATATAAATACCGCCAAGAGCCATACAATCACCACTACCTTTGCGGAGTTGCTTACCACCCTCTCCTCTACCAAAAAAAAAAATTCAATGCCGAAAGGTCAGAAATAACTTCTTATTTTATTACCTTTTCTATGCTCCGTTAGTTAAGTAGGTTTAATCCTCAACATCTGACTAGATGATTATACTCTATATTTTGCTTTAGTGTAACATTTGGCAAAATGACTAAATGTAATTTAAATGATGAAAGGTGGCTTACTGTGGGCAAAGAACATGGTGGAGAAGGAAAACCAGAATATCATGCAAAATTGATCCCAACCAGTCCCTCTGAAATCTCTATTTCTTGGGCGTTCAAGAAACCAAACCAAAATCCCGAATAAAACAAAGGAGACAAAGATTGTCGACCACAGTTCCCAAGTCAACGGCTTCACCAATAGCCATGTATTTCCCTTCTTATCTTCTGGGATCGGTACAACCATCGAAACACCAGACTCTCTGTAAGGCAGGGTGAAGTCGACATACTGAGACCTATTTCCGAGAATTGTTACGTCTCCAGCTACTGCGTCATAGTTCTGTTCATTAATAAGCGAAAACAAAAAAAAAAAAAAAAAAAAAAAAAAAAAAAAAAAAAAACGTTCAGGCACAGCATACTGCATCTTCTGTGTTGATAAAAATGTATTTGGTTTTTAATTTTGTAGGAAAGAAAGAAGAACTTACTCCGAGGTACACTTCATAGACCAAATCATTGTAAACTCCAGCCATCTTGCGATCAGGTGTTGCAAATGGAATGTATTCATACGGCACATCATATGGTAGTGCTGCCATCACCGCATCAAAAACATCTATGCAGTATCCTTCCACTTTAGTAGTATTGTCCGAATTCCACGTAACACGCACGAATTCGGTGAAACCAGCCTTTACAGGCACTCCTACTCTCAGTTTCTTGGTTTTTGTCGGAACTGCCCAACCTTTAGGTGGAGATGATTCGTTGCCTGGCCATGTAATAGATCCGAGGTTGTCTTTGGAAGTTGAATATGCGCTTGTGCTTGAACTAGTGAACTTTAGTTTGTTTACAATTCCATTCTCTTTTGTCCAATATCCTATGCCACTAACTCCATGAGCAACAATGTTGACTATTTCATAAGGAGGTGCTTGGAGTTGACCATCGACTAATTGGAAGTTTCCAGCAAGGCCTCTAAATGTGGTACTCGATAAAGCCTGAATTAGCTTTGGTCCACTTAACGATACCCCAAAGGCTTCAAGATCAGTAGAATTTGTCGACGTGTTTGTCTTTTGATATGTAAGATTTGATAACCCTGCTTTTTCAACTGCCATGGCTAGTGCAAGAGCCGAGTCATAAGCCCATATACCATATATGTCCAGATTTAGAGCTTTTGGATTGCTCTGCAGAGTCATGTTTTTGTATCGAATTGCAAAGTCGTCCAGCTCTTTTGTCTGTGGAATATAAGGCTTTACTCCTATTACTCCTAGCATGGATGCTAGGACAGAAGGATCCATTGAATTTAATTCGTTTGTGATGCTGTCTGTTATTATCCATGCGTAATCTTTACTCATCATTCCTAGTTGTGCTGCTTTGGCGAACAGGAGAGAACCGAGGCTGCTCAACATGTGCACGATGAATACTCTTGTTTGCATAGTCTTCAGCTTGGAAAGCTCTGCGACGATTTGCTCGTCTGTCGCTGTTGATGGGATGACACTCCTGTAAGGTACGCGCGCATTTACCTGCTCTAAGGCATCGGTTAAAAACGGTACAATCCCTTCTCCGAATTCGTTATCCTCGTAGATTGGCACAGCTTCTTTCCATCCAAAGGCTTGAATAATTGCAACGATGGGGTTTACTTGCGTAGAGTCGTTTAGAGTAGCCCGAACGAAATAAGGACTCCTCAGTGATGAAAGAGAAGGACTTGTGGCCGAGAAGGTAACTATAGGAACTTGAGCTTTCTGTCCAAGAGAAATAAGGAAATTAGCCTGTACCGAGTACATGGGACCGATGATGGCTTGCACTTCAACATTCTTCAGCAGGTCCAAACCTGCATTTCATGTGCAACATAACATTCATCATTTGATCCTTCATTTATTAGATAAAAAGCTATACGTTTTTATATTGAAATTAAGATGTAAAAAATCGATGACCGATTAGTGTATTTCTCATCTTGGGAAAAAAATACTCTAAATCTGGATTTCTCGTTAGGAATGAAAGTTGTCGACAGATGTCACATGGTGAAGGAAATAGTCGGTTTACAGTTTACCCTACGTAAAAAAGGACAAAATTATCCTTCAATATCGTACCTGCTGCAGCTGCACCAATTACGCCTTCTCTGGAGTCACGGTTGATGAGAACGAGCCTCGTTTTATAATGACCGTGTGTAGCGTAGAAATCAGAGAGCGCCATTGATGTGCAGTTGAATGCCATCTTTCCATACTCATCCATGTCTAGCACCACTCCTACTCTTACGGAGATGTTCTGTGCCGCTGCCATTTTTGTCGAGAAAATCACGGCACATAAATAAAAGAAGAGATACAAAATGGCATATCTGCAGGTTTTGATCTTCTCCATTTCTTTTTGCTAAATTTGGGGCTTTATTTATTATTATTATTAATTTTTTTCTTTTTTCTTTTTGTGATGATGATTTATTTGATTACTCAAAAAATATGCATATACAGGGCACTATGTTTTGGATGTTTGAATTTGAACTGTTACATCCAAAATGAGCTGTCCTCATTGTATTAATATATTGTATTTTGAAGTTTCTTAGGAGAGTTTAAGAGTTTACTTTTGTAAAGTCAACGAGCCATCCAACATTGGTTGCTGTTTTAAATTTTTATGAATGCTTGTTTTTAGAAGTTTTGACTATAATTATAAATCATTTATTCATTCTTGAGGTTTGACTTATTACAAAAGAATTCGGACTCGGTTGAAATTTTAAATATATACGAGGTAATTAGGGTTTATGAGATGCTACATTTGGTAAAAAATACTAGGTGAATTTGCATCATAAATTTATACAAATAACTATCCATTAAACACACAAACACATTGGTATGTGTGTTATTATGTTCAGATCAATGGTGCAGAATCATCCAAGAATCATCCAATGTATTTCACGGGTGACAAAACTGGAATCAAAGATTCATTATGTTTTAACAACTTTTGTGGTTGAATTTAACTTTCAAAGATTCATTGCTTTATAAATGTAACTGATTTGGCTCAAAATATTGAAAATATATTTTATTACAATTGCAAATATTTCAAACTAACTACGGCGAACAATATTGATTACAGATTTGGTGTAGTGATAAAAATAAATTGGAAAAATTACAGTTTTGACCCCTTAAGTTTGCATCGATTCCACATTTGGTTCCTCATGTTTACAAAAAAATAAACACATTTGGTCCCTCATGTTTCAATAATTAATATTTTTGATCATTTCCATCAATTTACCGTTAGTTTGTTAGTTAAGCAAGTCACGGAACACGCTTGATTCCGTTAGTTTTAACGAAAAATTGACGGAAATAACTAAAAGTGTTGAATTTTTGAAACATAAGGGACTAAATGTGTTTTTTATAAACATAAGGGACCAAATATGAAAAGAAAAAAACTATATTTTTCCCAAATAAATCATTATAAATAAGATGGTGAAACTGAGTTCAATTATGCTAATTCCAATGCGCCGGAAAAGAATCAATCAAGTTCGAGAATGGCAATGCAGCTGAAGAGTGTGGAGAGAATCAAACATTGACAGTTAACCTCGGAGTGCTTAGGAGAGAAGAAGAACGAGAGAATCGGAGTTGTTCGTCACAGAAAGGATTGGTAAGTTTTGCTTTGCGTTGTTGTTAATGTTTTGTTTGTGTTGGTAGATCTGTACGATGATGTAGGATTATGTGGATGCCTATTACATGTTTGTTGAAATGCCTACAAGAATATGAGCTTTTTGGAATCTATCTGCATCTCATATTACCTTATTTGCTTAACCTTCTTTTCTCGTACTAAGGTGAAGTATCTAGCTTTGTGATGCTTCCTTGACGACCCTCTATCGGAGTTCCCGTTATCTACATAATCAAATTTTTCGGTATTTTATCAATGCTAGTTTTGTTTATTAGCCCGAGCTTTTGAAGATATAGGCATTTAACATAAGCTAAAATGTAGACGAATCCAAATATAATTTGATGTGAAGGAATTGTGGTTAGAACTTTCCAAGGACATTAAAACATTTGACATTCCCAATAGAGAACTTAATCCCAAGACAATGTTTCCAGAAAAAAAGAATTTGTAAGGAAATTTGACACGAAACATTTGGAATCAGATTTTAAAAATTACACCACCACCTTTCTCAGTTAAGCGACGGGCATCAATCTTTCTTTGAGGTAAACGAATCGCAAGTGCCAACATTTATGTTCATCACTAGTTTTCATGCGGATCAACAAGCTCGATCTCTTGGCTGTTGTTTTCTTTCTTAGACAGGAAAATACGCAGCAATCTTAGCAATTTGGATGGAGCGTCCTCCCCTTTGACGACATCCCAATTGTCATAAAGGAATTTAAACACATAGTGCGTAAGGGCTCCAAATCCAACCGCTCCTACAGCTGAGAAGAGTACCATGAAGCTTTCTAGCTCAAGACTTTTTGATGAAAGCACAGTGTCAGAGTCTGAACATGTGGTCTTATCTCCGAACCATTTCCTCTCGATTTCCACCATCTTTCGGCCTTCTGTCACATTCAAAATTGCTCTTGAAACGTCAGGTACTAGAGGAGAACCTATTGGGAAGACCTGCAAAGAAGAAAAAGAGAGCCTTTAGAACGATTAAAGCGAAAAATAATATACATGCGTAGATATACTTCAAAGGAGGGTCCGTACAAAGCCAAAACCATCAGCCTTATACGTGGGTCCGACCATCATGTATTTTGAACAGTATTTTCCTCGAAACAACTTTATATATGGGATCTCATGAAAGGCGGCAGCTATTCCACCATTTCGACTCCCTTTGGAGAGAAGTTCGTCCATTTCCTCGGCTGAGTTGAATGGCCGAAGTCGCGACGCATCGATACCCATTTCTTTGAGTAGTCCGAAAACAAACGACGGATTCGAGTAGCCTACATATTCCTTATTTTTAATAAGCTCACTAACTTCGGTAACTGTTGGCTGCAGCTTCTGGACTGTTAACATGGATGTAAGACTGGCGGTATAGCTTTGGGTTAGTATAAGTACCAGAAAAAACCATATGATCAGCAGGGACCTGCCCCAGTTGCTTGCAACCTTCTCCTCTACCGAAAAATAAACGGCAGATGGTCAGAAAAAAAATTGTTAATTTTATCGCGTAACCGTAAATTAAGGAGATTTTAAAGTTTGGTATATAACATTTGGCGAAAAGGAATATGGTTTAAAAGATGAAAGGGGTCTTACTATGAGCAAATACCATGGTGGAGAAGGGAAACCAGGTTGGAATCACCCAACCTTTAGGCGGAGATGATTTGTCGCCTGGCCATACAATGGATCCAAGGTTGGATCTGGAAGTAGAATATTTATTTGTATTTGAACTTTCGAAGTTCAGTTCTTTGACAAGTCCATTCTCTTTTGTCCAATACCCTATGCTGCTAGCTCGAGGACCATCGATATTGACGATCTGATAAGGAGGTGCTTGGAGTTGGCCATCAACTAAGCGAAAGTTTCCAGCAAGGCCCGTAAATGTAACACTTGATAAAGCCTGAATCAGCTCTGGTCCACTTAATGATACTCCAAAGGCTTCAAGATCTGTAGAATTTCTTGACACATTTGCCTCTCGATATTCAGGATTTTCTGGCAGTGCTTCTTCTACTGCCATGGCTAGTGCAGTGGCCGAGTCATAAGCCCATAACCGATAAATGTCGACATCGGGAGTAGGAGCTTTTGGACGGCTCTGCCGAACCCTTTGCTTGTATCGAATTGCAAAGTCATCCAGCTCTTTGGTCTTTGGGACATAAGGTCTTACTCCTATTACTCCTAGCATGGATGCTATGACAGAAGGGTTCATTGAATTTAAATCGTTTGTGATGCTATCTGTTATTATCCATGCATAATCTTGACTCATCATTCCTATTTCTTTCGCCTTGGTGAACAGGCGAGAAGCAAGAGGGTTCAGCACGTGGACGACGAAAACTCTAGTTTGCATCGTCATCAGCTTGTAAAGCTCCGCAGCAATTTGATCATCCGTTGCTAATGGTGGAATGACACTTCTGTAAGGTACGCGCACATTTACCTTTTCCAGTGCATCAGTCAAAAATGGTAGAATCCCTTCCCCAAATTCATTATCCTCGTAAACGGGCACAACTTCTCTCCACCCAAACGCTTGAATGATTGCAACTATAGCGCCTACTTGTGAAGAGTCTTTTAGAGTAGCCCGGATGAAATAAGGACTCCGAAGTGATGAGAGAGAAGGACTTGTGGCCGAGAAGGTAACAATAGGAACTTGAGCTTTCTGTCCAAGAGAAATAAGGAAATTAGCCTGTATTGAGTACATGGGACCTATTATGGCTTGCACTTCAACATTCTTCAGAAGGTCCAGACCTGCATTTCATGTGCAAGACAACATTCATTAGTTGGTTTCGACAATCTCGGGTGTGCATATTTAATGTAGTTTTCCTAATAAATGGTAATGTTAACGACTATTTTAATGAAGAAGTTCCGGGTATAGAATTCTCATCTATGTTGGAATAATGCACTTTCTAGAATTATCCACGTGCATGTACGATGTATGATATGATAAATGAATAGGCAAATAAATGAATAATTAGATACATGATTATCTAGTATTCATGAACGTTACTTTTTTTTTTATGATACAGGTACTACTTGTGCCTGGACTAGTATAAATAGGTGTGGAGTTTGTACATGTAATTCAACAAGTTTTAGCTAGAGTAAAATATATAGGAGATACGTTCTCTTAAATATTTCCTTGTTAATCTTTTCCAAATATTTCCGCAAAATATCCAACAATTTATCGGAAAATTATTTATATATGTAGAAAGGCTTGCAAAAATTGAAGTGATAGAGTTTTTCTTTGTCATTTTTCTTCCTCCCTTTTTTTTCGAGAGTGTGTTGTTGTGTGCGTGTGTGTGTGTGTGTGTGTGTGTGTGTGTGTGTGTGTATTTTTAGGCAGAGTACCTGCTGCAGCTGCCCCAACGACATCGCCTTTGGAGTCCCGGTCGACAAGAACGAGCCTTGTGGTATAATGATCATGTGTGGCATAGAAGTCTGAGAGAGCCATCCTTATAACGTCCAGTGTCATCTTTCCATAGTCATCCATGTCTAGCACAAGCCCGACTCTTACAGGGATGACCTGCGCCTCTGCCGTTTTTGTCGAAAAATTCTTTAAACCGATGAACAAGTAAAAGAAGATATACAAAATGGGATTCCTGCAGGTAATTCTCTTCTCCATATCTATCTTTTGCTAAATTTTGCTGTTTGAGACTTGAGGGAATGATCGGTGTTCGGTTACCGAAGTATATATAATGTTTGAACTTTAACTATCACATCTACAGCTAAAACATATGATGTAGGACCCAAAACATGGTCTGTGTTATGTATAGAATAATATAGTTTTGCTGAAAAAAAAATGGAGTTTACTTTTGTGAAGTCAATCAACTATCCAACATGCATGCAACTTTTGATTAAAAAAAAGGGCTGATTATGTTGAAGTTTGTATCAAGGTTTGTCCTTAGCCTTAGGAGGTTTGATTAGAATAATTTTTTTGAGTTATTATGCTAATCAGCAATTACTACATTCAGTTAGTAGGTTTAAATTGACTCCTATTGAACATTAATTATTCAGGGTTAATTATAGTCAAAAAAAATTCTCAAGAATATTGTCTTTGCGGTCCAAATATACATTAAAAGATTTCGAGGGGTTATACTACACTACCCAAATATATATACATATATATATATATATATATATATATATATATATATATATATATATATATATATATATATAAAATACTATATAGTTTTTATAAACAATGGAAACAAAACAAACTTACAGAAGAAACTCCTCTTTGTTCGATGTTTTGAGGTGTATGAGTAAAATTGAAATTTAGATAATAATCATAATCATAAGAAGAAGGAATCTTCAATCCATGACGGAAGATGAGACACTATTATTAAAATTAACTAAATTAGTGTGTTTGAATTCAATTACATGAAGTAATGTGCGTTTTCGTATTTATGTTAAGTTCAATATTCTCATTGATTTCGACATGTTAGTCTTGGGGTACTCTTATTATGTATTTAGTATTTACGAATAAATTTCTAACCGAAAGTGCTGTTTTACATTGGAAATGAAATTAGAATTGAGGTCTCATGTGGAACTAAATTTATAAGTTACATAGCTACAAGATATCATCTCACCGTTATCTGACTTGAGACGAAAGACAAGTTTCCGCACTTGGTTAACATGTTGATGGCAAATGCTCGTTTTGATTCGGGTTAACAAGTTCGATTTCTTGCTGTATAGCTTCAAAATCTACGTTCCGCGCATCTGGGCTCGAGAAATCAGGACTTGGTGGGCCGTTAGTGAACGGAGAGGCCACTGAAAAAGTCGACGGACTAAATTGAAAATCATGTTCGTTGGATGATTCTGCTGCTCTCTTCATGCAATCACCTCCACAAACACTCTCCCTATCTCTATTTTCCATGTTCTTAAAAGTATGAGAGCTGAGATCTCTGTTCTTGAACCTTTGAAGCAAGTCGTTCATCTTGGTCCATATAGTCAACTCGTGACCGGACCGGTCAACAACATGCCAATTTTCGCGTAGGAATTTAATCGCGTAGATTATTAAAGCTGAAGCTGCAGCAATTCCCACTATCAAGAACAGCCCCCAAAAGCTCTCTAAACCGATACTGTTGGACGAAAACAAAGTACTAGAATCTGGACATTTGGTTCTATCTCCAAACCATTTTTTCTCGATATCGATCATTTTTTTACTCTCTGTGACATTTAATATCCCTCTTGATACATCAGGTACTAGCGGAGAACCTATCGGAAAGACCTGCAGATAGATATATACGCGTAAGCATTTTATAGATGAAGAGAAGGAACGAGAGCTAAAGGAGGGGGTGACACGTACGAAGCCAAAACCGTCGGTTTTATAGGTGGGACCGACCATGGTGTATTTTGAGCAGTACTTGGCAAGAAACAGCTTCATATACGGGATCTCATCAAAAGCTGCAGCTATGCCACCGTTTCGACTTCCTTTGGAGAAGAGTTCGTCGAGTTCCTCTGTTGAGTTGAATGCCAGAAGCCTGGTTTCATCGAACTTCATGTTTTTAAGGAGACCGAAAACAAACGATCCCATTTGGTAGCCAATGTACTCATTGTTTTTAATGAGCTCGGTGACATCTGTAACGGTTGGCTGCAGCTGCTGAACCGTCAGCATCGAGGTAAGACTAGCGGTGTAGCTTTGTGTTAGTATAAGGACAACTAGAAACCATATAATCAGCACAAATCGAGACAAATTGCTTATCACTCTCTCCTCTACAAAAAAGAAGTGATTTTCAGTATAAGATATGTGCATTATAATTGCTTGAGTGAATTTAGAATTACAAGATCTTACTGTGGGCGAAGACCATGGTCGAGAAGCCGAACCAGAATACCATGCCTACTTGATGCCAAAAGGGACCCCTGAAATCTTCGTTGATACGGTGCTCAAGAACCCATATAAGAAACCCCACGAAGACAAACGAGCAAAAGCTCGTCAGCCAAAGCTGCCAGGTCAGTGGCTTTAGAAACGCCCATGCATTTTTGCTCTTATCGTCCTTGATCGGTACGACCATCGAAACACCAGACTCTGTATAAGGCAGGGTGAAGTCGACGTACTGCGACCTGTTTGCTACAATAGTTACGTCTCCAACCGCCGCATCGAAGTTCTGTCCATTTTCAATCAATCAGAAACGAAAAGGTTAGTATCCATTTTTTATATTTTTTTCTTTTCGTTTTTACGAAATGCAAAACACTTACTCCAAGGTACACTTGATAGGCCAATTCATTGTAACTGCCAGCTGTCTTGTGGTCGGACGTAGCGAAAGGAACGTATTCATACGGTACGCCATACGGTAGAGCTTCCATTACTGTATCGAAAACATCTATGCAGTATCCTCCCGCTTCTGGAATATTGTTTGGATTCCAAGTGACATGAACAAACTCGGAGAAACCATCTTTTACGGGTACTCCTATCTTTAAAATTTTCCCGTTTGTAGGAACCACCCAACCTTTAGGTGGAGATGTTTTATCCCCTGGCCAAATGATGGATCCAATATTTGACTTTGAAGTTGAGTAGTTACTTGTGTTAGCGTTCGTGAAATTTAGATCTCGAACAATTCCATTCTCTTTCGTCCAGTATCCGACCACACGAGCACCGGGTCCCACCATGTTGACTATCTCATAAGGAGGTGATTGTAGTTGACCATCGACTAGTTTGAAATCTCCGGAAATACCTCTGAATGAAGTGTTGGATAAAGCCTGAATGAGCTCTTTGCCAGTGCTCGAGATACCAAATGTTTCAAGATCCGTAGAATTTCGAGAAATGTTCGTCTTTAAAAATGTCGAATTTACCCCCACTTGTGCTTTTTCCACAGCCAGTGCTAGTGAAATAGCTGAATCGTAGGCCCATAGTCCAAACATGTTCAAATCGTTCCGTTGAATCTTTTTCCTGTACCTCGTTTTGAAGTTATCGAACTCTTCTGTTTTTGGAATAAAGGGTTGTACTCCTATTACTCCAGTCATGGAGTTCATCACAGAAAGTTCGATCGAATCCAACTCGTACGTCATGCCATCGGTTATTATCCATGCATAGTCTCCACTCATCATTCCTAGCTTTTCAGCTTTGGCAAAGAGGCGGGCCCCTAGATGAGTCAGCATGTGGACAACGAAGACTCGTGTCTGCATCGTCATCAGCTTGTACAGCTCAGCAACGATCTGATCGTCTGTTGCTAATGGTGGGACCACGCTTCTGTAAGGCACGCGCGCGTTGACTTTTTCTAAGGCATCGGTTAAAAATGGTATAATCCCTTCTCCGAATTCGTTGTCTACATAAATGGGGACCACTTCTCTCCATCCAAAGGCTCGGATTATCGCAGCTATGGAGCCTACTTGTGAGGAGTCGTCGAGGGCGGCACGAATGAAGTAGGGGCTTCGGATTGATGCGAGAGAAGGGCTTGTGGCGGAAAAGGTAATTATCGGGACTTGGGATTTTTCTCCGAGGTTTATCATGAAATTTGCCTGCGCTGAGGATAAGGGGCCTATGATGGCTTGAACTTCGACATTCTTGATTAGGTCGAGAGCTGCAAATTTTTTTGTGTGCAACAAAACATTTTAACACAATTTTTTTTTTTATGTGTAGGAACATAGATGAATAGTTGTAGATATAATCATATATGGTGTATCTATTTTCGGCAAGTTTTAGAATTTTCATGTCCCGATCGCCGATGCAATTCTTGAAAATTGAAGGCAATGATGTTTGGAAGCGTTTTGAAACTTATTTTGATTTCATTTTGGGGAAATATGTTTTGGGGGAAGAATTTGAGAATGAAAGTAATGTTTGTTTATATTTTGGAAGGAGACAAAATACACTGTAGCAGTCACGTCATGTTTAAAAGTGTTAGAAAAAGGTATTTTAGAAGAAAAAAATTAAAAGATAAAGTGTTATTTATTTGTTTTTTAGTGAAGACATTTTTTATCGTAGCAGTCAAATCATTTTACTGTAGCATTTGAGATTATTTTGAGAAAATTATTTGAGAAGTGTAATAAATACAAATTTGTTTTGGGAAATCAATAAAAACAAAATGAAAACATTACCAAACATTGCCGAAGTTTTTCGGGGGTTCAAGTTTTCTTCAATAACAGATTACACTATAATACATATATGGATAGTTTATAGTTTTTATTGCCAAAAAAATTATGTACAACTACCACTAATTGTTTAAGCAAATTGGCCTGTGAGGAACACGAAACTCTGTCAGACTGTGAAAGTCAACATTCTCCGAACAAATATGATATTATTGGGAAAAATCAGTATTGAAAAAGTCAAACATATCTAAGTGTCAGTTTGCTTGTGCAAAGCTGTCTTGTGAGAGACATGATTAGAAGACTTGGTTTTAACTTAAGTTCCAATGAAGAAGCAAAGCTTCGTCACGCGGTTCTTTAGCTGATGTTATAGTTTACTTTTCCTTGTAAGAAGTTGACTTAAGCATGGATGGATGCAGCAGCTCAAAAGGGTTGACTATTTTGAAAAAAAAAATTAAAAAAAAAAAAAAAAAAGAAAAAGAAAATTGTTGGCTATTGAATCCAAAAGATCCATCGTTATTCATGTCAAAAAAATCTTGATTTCAACATATATATATATACATGTGTGTGTGTGTGTGTGTGTGTGTGTAGAGTGACGGAACTAAAGAGCCGGAGCAAGACGGTGAACACGAAAACGAAGAAAGTAAGAATTCGATTATCAAATCATCTCTCGGCCCTTAAATGAAATAGTAGTTTCTAACATAGTACATACATATAAATGTATGTTCTGTGTTTGTGTGTGTGTGTGTGTGTGTGAGAGAGAGAGAGAGAGAGAGAGAGAGAGAGAGAGAGAGAGAGAGAGAGAGAGAGAGAGAGTATAGTACCGGCAGCAGCTGCAGCAACAACATCTCTGTCGGAATCCCGAGTGTGAAGAACGAGCCTAGTCTTGTAATAATCATGCGAGGCGTAAAAATCGGACAGTGCCATCGAGATACAGTTGATCCCCATCTCTCCGACATATATATCCATGTCCACCACCACGCCGATTTTTACAGGGATCGGTGTTTCTTGTGCTTCGACGACGGTCAAATGTTCTAGAGGGAGAAAGAGAATTAAGAGAGAGAAAATAGAAAGGCTGATAGTTTTCTTCCCCATTTTGTGATTGATCATTGTTTCGGCACACGAAACCAGCCTATATATATAGTTCAGCATTTACATTTCTGAAATATTACATCCACAAGTTGACGTTACAGAAGAACCATTTTTATTCTATTCTATTTTATTTATTTATTTATTATTTTATTTATATTAATAATAATAATTAACAATAAACAGCCTATATATTTGATATATTGCAATAGATACTCCACTTATCTTGAATATAATCATATATACTTACTTACCTAATGATTGGTTAGTTATTTGGTTGGTAAAGTCAATTACATTGTTTCAGAGCTATGTTCAAATTCGTCCTTATTAGATACATTAATTATATTTGGTTGGAGACTATGTTCAAATTCATCTTTCCAACAGCTCATTGGTCAGCTCGTCACCTAGTCCTTTCATTTCTTCATACGCGACTTGAATCATAGCCAACGTTCGTCTTGCGCGAACTCTTTGTTGCTAAACCATCATTTCTTGGACCCTCTTAGCTTAAAGGCCCATCTTTGTTAGTTCGGCTCGAGGCTATCAAATTGGTCCCCATAAGAGCTTATAAACTGTTTTTTACTCGTTGTAAGAGCTTATAAGCGATTTTTACTTATTATAAGATCTTATAAGTTTAGCCAAATATTTTTTATGCGATCAAACATGAATGTGCTTATAAAGATAAAAAAAAATTTTAAAAATTTTTTATAATAGAAACAAGAATAATTTGTTGATTAGGGTCCACAATAATTAGTTAATTGACCCGTTTAATAATTAATATGCATATATACATTTCAAGTTACTCCTTTGGGTTTACCTTGACCATTTCAAACTTGACTATACAAAAACGATGTGTGTCTTCAAAAATCAAAATTCTTAGGGACAACTGTGGAAAATAATAATAATAAATAAATAAAATTTTATTGTAACAATTGTTTTATATATAAGGCAAGGATATTTAGAAATCCGTAAACCAATTAATTGATAGCGAAAGCATTTGAGGGGCTGTTTACTCGATCTTTATACGATGCACGAGATCAAAAAAAGGAAGAAAATTTAAATATATGATAATTAAATGTTATTAAAAATCAAATCATCAGAGGAAAAAAATGGAAAATAGGAGACGAGAAAATAATTATTTTCACTATTTAAAAATATATAAATACGTCATTAGGATTTCTTAGAATTCGGTAGTTTCTACTTTTATATATTAAAAGCAATCATTATTTTTTATATTTACAGCTAGGATACTGGAATCTAATGGGTAGTCCAATTTTATTAAAATAATATTCAAGTCCAATTATATATTTGATAGAAATTGACTTTGAATTATTATTTTATTTTATTTTTTGGAGTGTAGTAGAATTATACACGTCCACAAAGAAATTGCATAGTTGCAAATATCTTGCACTCATTTCTTAATCGCTAGTCCTTAGTTGTAGCCTAGTAGGCTTCGCATAGAATATATGTAGTCAAAGATAAATATGTAGAGTGATGTTTGAAATTACGTATACACAATTGAATATATATATTCACATAAGCAATTTTATATTTATTATTTTTTAATTAATTTGCTTATGGTATCTTTTCTTGACTATGATTGAATATGGAAGTTAGATGTTACACCCATCTGATTGTTAATCGTAGATGAAGTTAAATAATTGTTCATTAATTAAGCACATATATATATATATCAGTATGTCAGTGTTTCGGGGTTTTGCAGAACTTACATCTGGTATTATACAGTTATTTATGCAGATCGACAATTTAATACGACATAGTATATTTCACCACGTATAACATATCATAAACCATTAAACCATTTATATATATATGTGTGATTTTATGTATAGATCTACGATTAACACTACTAACCAAGTATAAATAACATTTAATTTGTAACATCTAATTAATATAACTCCTCAATATGACTATATTGACTGGTTTGCCCTAATTGATGCATGCACTAACAAAAGAATATTCGTCTGCTGATGTGGAGTCATGTAATTTCTTACAAGTCAAGAACAAACTATATATTTCATCACCTTTAGATATTATAAAATTTGTTTCCAATTATTTCATCACCTAATTTAGATATTTCATGTTTATTTTTCTTCCATATTCATCAATTTTCTTACGTAAGGGTTTAGATTTTCCTACTCTAACCAACTTAAATAAACTCAAACTAACTAATAAATATTTAGTAGATACAAAAATGTGTCTAAACATGAAGCAACATTATAGTTTCATATTAACTTCATTAATTATGTCCAATAACATATGAAATATTTGTACATTATAATATATTAATGCAATGATGTTGTGGAGTGTAAAAATGTGGAATTGACAAATAAAAATATATATTAAGTTATATTAAGTTTTGTATAACTGTTATTAATTTTATGAAGCTAATTAATTTTACAAAAAAAAATATACATTTAAGTCCTAGAAATTAATTTCGTTATTACGTGTGAATTAAAATTCTCTTCGAACGCCTACAAAACTAGATTTTCAAATTTTATTACTTTTTCAATAAATTAAAGTCAAATTATAATTTACGACTACCATTTATAATTGCGATACCTATAATATTGTCCGCAGATAAACAAAAAAGTGTAATACTTTCCATAAATTAAAAATAGCCAAACGTTTTATTATCATTCATCGGCAAAATCTCGTGATTTGATTATCGATTCAATATTACAATCATTGCACTTCCTATATGAGAAAAATAGACGCGTGCCAGTTTCCAAAACAAACGAACCACGACCTCTATAAATACGACGCATGCCCGTTCATAGTTAAATCAGCAATACAAGAATACAGAAGAGCACAGTTGCATATAATATATATCTCACTAAACGTATATTCATAGACTTCCTTCAAAGTGTTCAATTAGCCTTTTCTTTGTCAAAATAATGAGTTATCAAACTAGCATATATGGTTATGCAATGTTGATGCTATTGCAATTTTTTCTCCATCACCGGTAAGTTTATTGCTTTTCTTTTTTTTTATTTTTTATTTCTATTTTTATCCATTTGTTTCGATTCGATTAATAATTATTCTATTCATAATTGGTAACTTGAAGATTTAAATTTTATAAATTGGCACATCAAATATATATATATATATATATATATATATATATATATATATATATATATATATATATATATATATATATATATATATATATATATAAATATATATATATATCTTTGTGTTTATGCGGTGCGCGAGTGATTATATGAAAATAGAGACTAGACTCTAGACTCTAGATTATCAAATTAGATACATGCATAATCATGCAGTTTACTATAAATGGACGTAGAATGCCATAATTCAAAATCTGATTGTCAAATCCTACACTCAGGATGGCTTTTAAATAAAATGTTAAATTATCGTTACCAAATATAAAGAAATTATAAATATCAAAATCCAAATCAGATTAAATCATATCTCACACAATTTCACTATAAATACCCCACAAACAAACGTAGATCATACACACACAGTACACACAAAGAGCAAAGTTTCATTTCAATTCATATATAGAATAATAATTATCTGCAACTTAATTCTAACTTTCTGTTGAACAATGGCGGGCAGGCAAACAAGGGGGCGACAGAGAATCCCGATCAGGCTGATCGAAAACCAGGACGATCTGTACGCCACCTTCTCGAAGCGGCGATTGGGGCTTTATAAGAAGGCAAGCGAGCTGAGCACGCTTTGTGGTGTGGACATTGGTATAATTATCTTCTCCCCTACCGACAACCCTTTCTCCTTCTTCCATCCGTCGATGGAATCGGTCATCGACCGATTTCGGAACCCCAACCAGCCCCTCAGCGACTACGCGCGGGTGGTTGAGGCTCACACACGCGCCCGGATCGATAACCTGAACCGGCGCCTGGACGAGATCCATGAGGAGAAGGACCGCCTCAAGGAGAGGGAGAAGGAGCTCGACGAGATCGACCGGAATCGGCCCAAGGGGTGGTGGGAGGATACCCCGATCGAGAGCCTCTCGCCGGAGCAGGTCCTGGAATGGAAGGCGTGGTTTCGCGCCTTCAAGGTCAAAATCCAGAACCGGATCTCGGAGCTCAACAATGGAGCTTCGACTTCCGGCGCCGCCGCCGCCGCCGCGGCGGATGAGGCGGCAGCGGCGGCGCCGCCTCCGACTGGAGGCGAGATAGTTCCGGGCATGTTTGCTCAGAACTTCGACTTCCCTCCGGGGCCGTCGTCGTCTACTTACTCCCCGGTGGCATTCGGGGATCACCAGTTTGCCACCACACAGTACTTTGATGCGCCGCCGTACGCTTCGGGTGGTGCGAGTGGAAGCGGCAGCGGCGGCGGCGGAGGAGGACAGTACTTTGTTACTCAGGCGGGTGAGGGGCCGTCTGGTAGTGGCAGCGGGCAGTTTTCTGTCCCGTATAATTTTGGTGCTCCTCCATTTGGGGCGGAGGTTCCGTCGGCGTCGGCGGCGGGGGCGGCTGGAGGAAGTGGCGGTGGTGGCCAGTTTCCTCCGATGCAGTACAATTATTTTCCACCACCGCCGCAACAACCGGATCATGATAACCAGAATCAGGATCCGACATCAGCTACTGTTGGAGAATATTCCATACAGTATAATTATATTCCCCGGTGGGGGCAGGATCCGTCTGCTGGTGGAGGAGCCGGTCCTTCCCACCGTGGGAAAATTTAAGTTTTTTTTTTTTAAATAAAATTTATTTTGTTGTATTTGATTTGTAGACAATGGTTTGTTTGCATTAATTAATGCATGGTTTTATTGTTGTTATTAGTTACTTTTTCTTAAGGTACAAATAACTATTTGTATTATTTAGGGTAACTTCCAACCACCCCTGATGTAGGTTAAATTACAAAAGAACCCATCATGTTTGGATAATTGCATCTATTCCCTCAATTCTGAATTTTCTTACATGTCCACCCTTCTGGGGTACAATTCAACATAATCTTCTAAATTCCGTGGAATATTCTCTAGTTTGTACATGTTTTGTGCAAAAATGCAGTTTCTGATGCACGACAATCTGATATATACAAACCAAAAAACACATATATTGATCATCTTGCTTCAAAATGTGGAGCTCAAATGGGATAAAATGATACAAAATTGAGAATATTCCATATTATCAACAAGATTCCACTAAATTTGACACCGTAAGGACGGACGTGTAAGAAGATTTATAATTGAGAGGTGATTGTAATTACAAGAGAAATTTTTGTAATTAGACATTATCTCAGGGGTTTCTCGTAATTAACCCTTTAGGCTTTTTCAAACTAATAAAAGGGTAAAACGGACGTACACATTTTCTGTAAATTTAAATAGTCAAACAATGGTCAGAGGGGAACTTTCGTAAATACCATAAGCATTACTGGAAATTTGATAGAAATCTTACAAATACCAGTTTATCAATAGGTTTTCTTCCTCACGACCCCAATAAAACAAATAACTTCATTATCTCATTAATCAGTTTCACATCTCCCTTATAATATCCTCTTCAACAGTTAGATTTGTTAAAAAAAACAACTCCAATTAAAACTCATTCCTCCAGAAGAATTCAACAAACATCAATATGAACAAAAAACAAAAACAAAAAAAAAAAAAAAAAGAAACAAGAATCATATTGATTTAATTTAAATTGGCAGAACCAATTTAGTAACTAATAAACAGAAGAACCTAATCTCTTCGTAGAAATCATGAACCGAAATCAAACAAAATCAAAAAGGTTAGAGAACAAGAGGTAAGAAAATACAACTACTGAAATTACTATAAGAAAGTGAATCCGGTGATGGATTTATGGATTGTACCTAACACAAAAGAAATTAAAATAAAAATAAAAATGCTACACTTGTTTCCAGATCGAGCCCAAAAATAAAAAGCAACATCAACCAGTCTCGAGTAGAAGTGTTATGTCGTGACGATGTGTTTACAAGCGTCATATAATGTATCTTTAGACAATTAAAAAATAGTAATTGACCGTGCTCTTTCAATAAAAGTAACACCAATGCAAAGCATCATACACCATACGGAGACAATCCAAACGCTCGTACGCTTGTTGGAATTTCTAATGTTATATCCACAAATGCAATTTCTCTAAATCATAACTACGTCCACTAAATGCGCAATGCATTCTGCTAATTTCTCTCCTAAGAAAAGCACAAGTGCATATATGCATTCATCATCAGAAAATTACGAAGCATATATAACAACTTAATTAAGAAAAAGAGAAGAAAAAAAAATCAAAATTAATTACCTGTAGCAGCTAAATAGTAAAATCAACATGCGTTACGTCAAGACCTTTATATGAATAGTGAAGACTTGCGCTGAAATTTTCGGCATCCTCGTCATAATCATAATCAGCATCATTGGGCTTGGCGGTAAACGTCAAAGACACTATAAATCCATTGACTGCAACTGAGGTTGCTTCGATTACTTCCACCACACTGTATTCGACGCCCTACACACACACACACACACATATATACCAAAAGGAAACCACTTAATAATAATAATCATGATTCATGACGCAATTAAACATTTTAAAAAAAAATTAAAACTTGAATTACTTGTCTCTGGTTGAACACATCAATTGCTGCTTGGGCATAATCTTTGGCCTTTTGCACATCTTCTGGATCGTAGGAATCGTGAGAATCTCGGCGATACATGACGTTTAGAGTTCCACATAGACGATAGAGATCGGGCCGGAGCTTCCTCGCCAGAGCATACTTCTCTTTAGCTTTCTGTATCTTCTTCTTTTCCAATTCCAGCTCCTCTAATGCTTCCTTCATGAATTTCGCATTCTTTTCCTCTTCCGATTTCTTTATCGATTCCATTTCCTCCATCTCCTCTGTTTCCTCCTGCAATCTGTTCATCTGTCGGACTATTTTTTTTATTCGTAGCTTTTGATCCGCCGCTTTCTCCTCTTGCAATTTCTTCACGTGTCTCAGTATCTTGTTCACGCGCTTCTCCATTGATGGATTCGATGTCTTCATCTCCCTCTCTCTCTCTCTCTCCGATCTGTAACCCTAATCGTTTTTCCCCTTTGTTGGTTTCTTATATTTAATCATAAAAGTGGTTTAATGGGCTCGATTTTGAGAGTGGGTTGGTTGGGCTATGACAGATTTAATTTTGGGTAAATTACGATAAACCCCCTTAAGTAAGACCTAATTACGAAAATTCCCCTCTGACCATTGTTTGACTATTTAAATTTACAGAAAATGTGTTTGTCCGTTTTACCCTTTTATTAGTTTGAAAAAGCCTAAAGGGTTAATTACGAGAAACCCCTGAGATAATGTCTAATTACAAGAGAAATTTTTTCGTAATTTGATCATACCTTAGAGGTGGTTATAATTTAACCTATTATTTATGTTCTCACAGTTTAACCAAAAGAAATGCTACTTGAGCAAAACTACCGTCTTCAATTTTAATAATATTCCCAATTATCGATTTTAATAATATTCATTTGTTTTATCTTTTTTAGAAGTGACGATATGTTCGACATTCATTTATTACGATAACTCATAACATTTGATTAAAATTTGCATTTTGACTGGACACTTGTTATCTAAAAAAGTTCCTGTATTTTTTATGAAATAATAATAATTAATTTATCAATTAATTAAAATTTGTCCAGATTTCATTTAATTTATATGAGTTTAATTGTATATAAACATTTGAAAAGCATGTATTCGGCATTGAAAAAAACCAAATTATGAACGTCAATGGATATCTAAGAATGTCTAAGTAGCCGAACAATCAAACAACAATCTCCGGTAATTAATTTGACCGATATACGATAATGTATATAGCAAAATTCTAAGTACACCATTACGAAAAAAATGCAATACACGAGTCTAATCACAATCTACTAAATTCACTCGACTCCCCATCACAAAACATTCGAAATAGCCAGTAATTTGACTTCGATGAGAATTAATGTCGATCGAGATTACAAAAGCAACTTAACGAAACCTTCAAACACGGCATTGTGTGTTTTACTCGTCTCTTGGAGGGGAATCTAAACCAGCAGATGGAGTGTCGGCAAAGTATTCTTGATGTTTGACATTCACACCATACTGCAAAATGAACAAGTTAATTTGATGTAGATCGATCGAGTCCTTAAGGATTTAAAGATTCATTGTCTTCCTACTATCAGTGTGAATTTACTCATAACTTTTTGTATTTCTTGTGAATGTTATTTAACTTTGTAGAATGATTATAAAATCAAATTCACACTATAAAAAAGAATGTTACAGGACTTGGTAAAATAAAATAAAATAAATTGTGTGCTTACCGAAGCTATATTTTCACTACAGGTGCTAGTATAAAATGGTCCAAGCGGATAGCATTCACTCGTATGGGACAATGACACAAGAATGGTGAATGTATAAATTACTCCATTGTTCATAAATTTACGACTCATTGATCCAGCTCTTATTGTTGAATTTAATAGAAACTCTTTCGTTTTTCTGATAGGCTAATAGTGCTAAATATGGTGCTCCACGAGCTGTATTTCCAAGCATTGTTGGACGCTTACATCACACAGGTGTGATGGTGAGTATGGCATTTTAACACTGGGCGATTAGCACTTTGAAATTTGTTGAGAGAATTGCTACGATAGACCTTGGAGTAGCCCAGTCTAATAAAGAAACTAGTAAATGATTGCTAGTGATAGTATTGAGTAAGTTTTATCTAAATTCTGTTTTTTTTTTTTTTTTTTTTTTTTTTTTTTCGCGTAAGTTTCTTATTTTACCTGGATTCGTTTATGCCTTAACCTTTATTCTTAATGTGGCAGAGATACAAATTTGCTGTTCTGTAGGAATTTTATAATTTATTTTATTGTTACTAAGTAATGTGTATTTTTGTGCAGATAGGTTGCTCTGGATGATGAATTTTATTGTTGATGCACTCAAGCATACGATGGAGCTAAATCAAGCATTTTGAATTTTTGGTGTAAGAATGTAAGAATTATTAGTTAAATATCATATTCACTACATTTTTCTAGAAAACTCGGGCATAGTTGTAGGTATAGTTTTCGGTACAAAAGTTGTACCATAACAAGATACTGGAATTGATTGTAATATTTGTAAACTTTGTGACCAGATGCAATTGAAATTCCTATTTCCATAGTTATCGTAATTGTTTTTTTGGGTTATATGTTTTATACTTTTATTTATTCAATTTAGTAATAATTATTTTAAATAGATTTTTATGGAATATTTATTCAATAAATATATAAGAACATTTATATATTTCAGCGGCATATACAAATGTCACAAATTTGATGCAAGTGTCACAACAAGTTATTGACCAAAAAATAGTAACATCTTTACAGGACGAATGTAAACGCCTCAACATATTATATCGGGACACATATAATTGTCTTAAAAAGAGCAATTCTATAGGGACATATATAAGTGTCCCACAAGCTATTGCG